CAGCTGTGGTAGGTGTGTGGTGGTGGGGAGGAGGATCAGGGTGTGTGACGCAGGTGTAGGGAGGCAGGAAGGAGGCAGGGGAGGAGTAGGGAGGCAGGGGAAGACAAAAGAAGGCGTGGTGAAGGTGTGAAGGAGGGAGGGAGGATCACCACACTGGACGCCGGTCCCTACAGGCCATGACGGGAGGAAGTAGAGACTAACTGTAGCAGCAGGAGCAGGAACATGACTCACCAAGGCTCCTCCCAGTACCATTGATAAACACCTTCAGGCAATAATGGGCAACAGATAACGGTCTTCCTCCTCCTCCTCCTCCTCCTCCTCCTCCTCCTCCTCCTCCTCTTCTTCTTCTTCCTCCTCCTTTCTTCCTCCTCCTCCTCCTCCTCCTCCTCCTCCTGCTGTAGTAAAAAGTTCCCCACAAGACATTAGGTCGAAGAGATTATCACTTACGCGTAGCATCCATAAAGTTTTTTCATCATTGCGGGAGATGATAGGTCCAGTATGTAGTATACCTCAGGCGTTGTTGATTGCCCGTGCTGGCGTTTGTGGTACGTGACACAGGAGGCGGTGGTAACGTGAGCAGCGACGGCGGTGAGGAAGGTGGGAGTGTATCAACCAATACTGCTTACGGTACATCTGTGTTGACCAGGTAGTGAGAGATAGCCCTTCTCTCTCTCTCTCTCTCTCTTTCACACACACTACCACTGCCAACAAAGAGACAGACAGACAGAGAGACAGACAGACAGAGAGACAGACAGGTAATATTTGTGAAGGGAACAGACACACGAACACCAAACCAATCTCAGTTTGTTTTGCTCTTGAGTCACGTAAAGTCATCATGAAGAAGCATCCATTTATGAGACCAGCTGGAGGACCCTTGAGTGTGACCTGACGAAGACGCTGACGATGATGGAGAAGGAGGAGGTGACGATGATTGAGAGAGAGGGAGAGACGATGATGATGATGGAAAGAGAGGAGAGAGGTGACGATGATTGAGAGAGAGGGAGAGACGATGATGATGATGGAGGAGGAGGAGGTGACGATGATTGAGAGAAAGGGAGAGACGATGATGATGATGGAAAGAGAGGAGAGAGGGAGAGACGATGATGATGATGATGGAAAGAGAGGAGAGAGGGAGAGACGATGTTTCAATTCAATTCATTCTATCGATCTATCTATCTATTGATCTATCTATCTATTGATCTATCTATCTATCTATCTATCTATCGATCTATCTATCTATTGATCTATCCCCATTTCGATTGATATTTTTTTACCACAATTTGTAAATCGTTAGCCATTGGATCTTATTTCTCCTCCTCCTCCCCCTCTTCTACCTCCTCCTCCTCCTCCTCCTCTACCTCTACCTCTACCTCCCGGACCTCCTTGTGACCTCCAGACAAGAGACAGGACATAGGAAAACAAGTGAGTGTCACCCAGCAAGATGTATCGTGTTGTGTGTCACCTGTCGGGGTTATTACCTAGGCTCTCCCCCCCCCCTCCCCTCCCCTTTCTCCTCTTCTTCTCCTTCCTCTTTCCCCCTCTTTCCTCTCCCCTCCTCTCCCCCTATACCCCTCCTCCCCCCCTTTTCCCCCTTCTCTCCCACGTCTCTCCTCTTTTCCTCTTCTTCCCTCTTTTAATCCCTCCAACAGATCCTCGGTAGTTCATCAATTAGCCACCAGGTCCTCCTTGAGAGTGTGAAGTAGCAGTAATCTTGTCCTCGATGCTTGAGGCCTCCACACCTCCATTAGATATTGGTCCAGATGGTTAATTTGATCTACCTTGTTGACCCGTCAAGCACCATCACCTGGCCTCAGAACGGGACTCACCGCCCCTCCCTCCCTCCCTCCTCCTGTGGGTACATCTCCCTGCCCTTAAGCGGTCTCCTGCCTGTTCTTTAACGGGTGTCTTGCCCCGTCAACAAAGAGACCCTTTTATCGCCTCTTTGCTCTTCAACGGCAACTATTAATCGTCCCTAACAGAGAGCTCCTGTTTGGTCTCTAGCGGGTCTCCTGTTGTCTGGTAGCGGGTGACACAAGGCGGGTGACCAGTCCCTCTCCCCCCCACTCCACCTCTCTCTCCCCACACTCCCCCCCAGTCCACCTCTTTCTCCCCACACTCCCCCCTCCCCCCTCTACTCCATCAGTCTCACGTCGACCAATACAGGCGACAAAGGTGTTGGGTCCCATGCCACGTTATGCTGCTGCAGGAGTCTTGATGTAGTTTCGATATAGAATCATCCAGATCATTTTTAAGCTTTCGGAAGATTATTTTTAAGCTTTCAGAAGATTATTTTTAAGCTTTCAGAAGATTATTTTTTAAGATTTCAGAAGATTATTTTCAAGCTTTCAGAAGATTATTTTTTAAGCTTTCGGAAGATTATTTTTAAGCTTTCAGGAGATTATTTTCAAGCTTTCAGAAGATTATTTTTAAGCTTTTAGGAGATTATTTTTAAGCTTTCGGAGATTATTTTTAAGCTTTCAGAAGATTATTTTCAAGCTTTCGGAAGATTATTTTTAAGCTTTCAGAAGATTATTTTTAAGCTTTCAGAAGATTTTTTCAAGCTGTCAGAAGATCATATTTTCTCCTCGACTGGAGTTGTGTCTCAAATGTTTATTGAAAAAGAATCGTGGATCATTAAATAGCCTTGTTAAATTGTAGTGTGTGTGTGTGTGTGTGTGTGTGTGTGTGTGTGTGTGTGTGTGTGACGCCGCTAAATTGTTAAACGTGACACAAGTGGAATGATGACAGCCAGAAGGTTGTGTTTACGTTTATATCCGGCTCACACACGTCGACTAGTCAGGAGTACTCGTCAGCAGGGAGATGTAAGACATGTAATGGAACCTGGATTGAGAGGATGACCTAGATGTCTCTCTCTCTCTGTCTCTCTCTCTATCTCTCTGTCTCTCTTTCTCTCTCTCTCTCTTTCTCTCTCTCTCTCTTTCCACAAATCATGTTAAAGGTCCTGCTATAGATCCGACATCCCCAGGTCCTGCATAAATTCCTGCTTCTGGTGTCAAGTTTTTTTTTATAATCGAGCCCTCCAGGTCTTCTACAGGTTTTACACCGGGTCAGGCCACAGGTCCTCAGGTATTATCCCCTCTCCCCACCAAACCCACACATTCCCGATCCCCACCCACCCACTCCACCCACCCACCCACCCACCCCCCACAGAGTCATTGAGAGCCGGTGAGAAAGTGACCTACTGTGTGTCTCTATTGCGATTTATTGACGACGTAATGATGCATTTTATCTGACTGTGTGATACTGAGAGAGAGAGAGAGAGAGAGAGGAGAGAGAGAGAGAGAGAGAGAGAGATGTGCAAGAACAGGTTGAAGAGATGTGCTTCAGGAGGCTTCGTGTGTGTGGTGTGTGTGTGTGTGTGTGTGTGTGTCCATACTATCATACACATAACTGCGCTATATGAAAGTTTAGTGGTTTGTACTGAGCTTGTGTGTGTGCGTGTGATAAGGTTAAGGATACCAACACACGCACACCACGGACGTGTACGTATTAATCTGGGTTTTGTGTCCGGATGTGTGCACAAGGTTGACATATGATTATGAAAGGTTACAGAGGTTTACAGCTGTGTCTTGGTCACGTCACACACACGCACACACACGCACACACACACACACACGCACACACACGCACACGCACACACACACACACACGTTTTATCACTAAGATAAACACGACAACAATTTTGACTTTATATTATTATTATTATTTATTATTATTATTATTATTATTATTATTATTATTATTATTATTATTATTATTATTGTTATTATTATTATTATTATTATTACTTCTACTACTGAACACTTACCGTGAAATTAAACACCAGGAGTTAGAGGACAGTTAGCTACACAGAGGAAGCCACACTCGCATCCTCTAACATAATGCTCTTATCTTGAGCCTTGACGGTAGCTGTTTTAGGAGGCTAGGTTAGGTGATTAAACCACTAAGTCACTCCTACTAATCCACCTGTTTTAATAAAGTCAGCCCTCCAAGCTCCTAGGCACAGACACCAGATAACTCCCAGCTCCTAGGCACAGACAACAGATAACTCCCAGCTCCTCGGCACAGACAACAGATAACCTCCTCCCAGCTCATAACCTAACCTAACCTAACCCAACCTAACCTAACCCAACCTAACCTAACCCAACCTAACCTAACCCAACCTAACCTAACCTAACCTAACGAGAGTTAAACAGGTTTATATAGCAGACATCAACAGTTGTTTTTGTACTTTCATGCTTTATTTAGTTATACTTTGTAATACAGTGAATAAAGTATACATGGATAGAGTAAACAGTGAATAAAGTTTACACTGAACAAAGTATACAATGAATAAAGTATACATGACACAGTAAATAATAGATACAACATACAGTATATTGTAGTGACACAATACAGTGTATAAGAAGGTCGCTGCTTCCCGATATACTGTATATAATGTAATGTAATGTATACCGTATACGTGTGTAATAATAATAATAATAATAATAAACGGTTTATTGATAGAGTTGCAGCCGGTGGCTGAAAATATACAGACTTACATTTGATTTAGACATAATGATATAATATGCATTGAATACATTTACAGGGCTGTACAGTACATAAATCAGGAGTTGTTTATTATTTTAACAATAGATGGGATGGTGCTGTTCTTATATCTATCGGTGCGGGCTCTTATGGGCTGAATTTTGTTGTAGTGGCGGACTGCGCGAGGTGGGTGGGGGGCTGCCGGTGGCAGGAGGTGGCGATGACGAGGGTGGTGCATTAGTTGGCTGCCAAACCTTTCCAGTGCTTGGTGGTGGAGGTCACTGAAGGATGGCATTTCCAGGGTGGAGAGAGCGTTGGTGTAACCGGAGTATTCTGCGCCAAGCATGATTCTGCAGGCCCTTTTCTGTACCTTCTCTAGCTGACGTTGTGTGTGTGTATGTGTGTGTGTACAATATATACACATACAGATTAAGTAGCCTCGTTTATGCAAGAATTAGTCATTATATATATATATATATATATATATATATATATATATATATATATATATATATATATATATATGACTGTTTGACTGACTGACTGGTTTGCTGTGTCTGGTTGACTGGGTTAACTGAGTGAGTAACCGTGGCTAACTAACTGGTTAACTGTGAGTGACTGACTCATTAGTAAACTTTAACCTGACTGACTGACTTATTAACTATCACTGATTAACTGGTTAACTGTGACTGACTGACTCACTGGTAAACTTTGACTTGACCTGCTAACCCTCACTGAGTAACTGGTTAACTGACTGGCGGGTATAAACCACATGAACTCTCTCTCTCTCTCTCTCTCTCTCTCTCTCTCTCTCTCTCTCTCTCTCTCATATATGACCTCTTTATAGTTCTTCATACAGATTTTCGTCGTCGTCAAAACTTAGGGAAGCGCTGTTTCCTGGAGAAGGCTTGGTGACTGCTGGGGGCGGCGGAGGTTTGTTGGACTGTTTGGGTAGTGGCCAGGGACGCCCGGGAAGTCCCTTAGGGACGGCCGCCTGACCATGGGCAGGTCTCGTAGGATAAGGATTGTTACCTTCCCCAGGTAATGGCGGTTTGACAGCCGTGTGCAGGAAGGAAGGAGGTTTGCTGGTGACATTGGACGTCTGACTCGCCTCCTGTTTTTCCTTCACCTCGAATTCATCCAACTCGTCGTATAGATCCTGGTCGTCGTCTATGGGGGCTGGGGGTGCTGGTAGGGCATCTCGGTCGTCTGAAGGGGCTGTGTCTAGGGGCGGTTGGTTCCTTATCGGGAGTGGAGGAGGTATCTTGGGCTTAACTGACAGTTTGGCAGGTGGTGCAAATGAACGGTTAATTTGTGAAAATGAGGAGTTGTTAGGTGGAGGTGCAGAGTTGTTTGTGGGTGGAGGTGGGTAGTTTGTGGGTGGAGGTGGGTGGTTTGTGGGTGGAGGTGGGTGGTTTGTGGGTGGAGGTGGGTGGTTTGTGCGTGGAGGTGGAAGAGCTGTTGGCAGAGGTGGATGGTCTTTGGGTGGAAGTGCAGGGTGGTTTGTGGGTGGAAGTGCAGGGTGGTTTGTGGGTGGAGGTGGGTGGTTTGTGGATACAGATTGGTGAGTCATATTAATAGTAACATCGTCATATTCATCCTGATCGTTGATATCGTCAACAGTCTTGTTCTGCCGGTGTGCGTTGTCCTGTTCTTGACGTTCTTGTGATAACTGAAGGGCCGGAGATGACGGCGATAAGGAAACCTCTTTCGGTTGCAAGAGTTCCATCCCCTGTTGATCTGTTCTTCTTTTGGTTTTCATTTTTATATAAAACACCAAGAAACCGACCAGACTCGTTACCACAACACCGATGATAAAGCCCACAACGATCCCTATCCACATCCAGTTAGTTGATACTTTACCATTACAGAAGACAAAGGAGAAAGGTGTCTCAATTCCTGAAGCTCGCTCCATCCTTAAAGAAACACGAGGAAAGCCTCCGATTGTTACGTTCTTCAGGTCGATGGTGCCGTTTTCTAGGATGATACCGTCGGCGCCGGTGTTATTTATGACGGAGTCCTCCAGCCTCAGCTCCGCTCCTCTCACAATGATGGCTCTTGGTTGCAGGGTGTTAATGGTAACTTCTCTCAGGGTCAGTATCCCTTTACTCACCACCAGGCCATCGCTCCTCACGGTACCTACTTGTACATTGGACATCATGGACGCATCAAAGTCCGATGTATAGTTGAGTTGAACGATATCATCGATAACGCTGTCACTGACCTGGAAACTGAATGTACCTTCAAGCACTACTCGCCTCATGATGTTAATGGTACAGTTGATGATGGTGCACTTTTGATCTGTCGCCCGCACTGAGAGGTCTGTTACACGCGACTCTGTAAAATCAAACTGCATTACTGGGTCCAAGTTGACTGAACGTATATCCGACTGCTGAACATTGATTAAGTTGGCCAAGCTGGTGATTTTCACCGCCTTACACCGTTCCATATATAGACGCACCTTTTCCGCGTCACTATCAGCCGATATGTAGATGTTTTGGGAATCCAGAATAGTGAGCTTAAACTTGCTGGCTCCTTGTTGTTCTTGGATAGTTAGTGACCGGGCATTGTCGATCTCCACTTCCTCAAAGTCGCTCCACTGCTGTTTGATCAGCACTGAGGTCTGTCAGGGAGAATAACATTATATATATATATATATATATATATATATATATATATATATATATATATATATATATATATATATATATGCAGATGTTTAGGGTCTATTTCATACACAAGTTGACGATATGTAGTGTGTGTGTGTGTGTGTGTGTTGCTTCAGCTTTCAACATGTCTCCCTGTGCGTCTATTCCCCCCTATCCCCTCCATCCTACCCCCCATCACCCTCTCTACCCTCCCATCACCTCCCTGCCCTCTCCCACCTCCCTACCTACCTACCCTCCCTATCACCTTCCTACCCTCCCCATCACCCCCTCCCCATCACCCTCCCACCCTCCCTATCACCCCCCTCCCACTCCCCATCACCCTCCCACCCTCCCTCATCACCCACCACCTACCTCCCATCACCTCCCACTCCTCCTCATCGCCCTCCTCCCACCACCTACCCACCACCCTCCCTATCACCCTCCCTACCCTCCCTCCCCATCACCCACCTACTTACCCTCCCTATCACCCCCCTCCCACCCTCCCATCACCTCCCTATCACCTACCTATTACATCTACCCTCCCTATCACCCCCTCCTACCCTCCCTATCGCCTCCTGCCTTTGCTTGACGTATCTATACACGTAAGAAATAGCAATAAGTTAAGTAAATAAAAAACACTGATTTATCTTCTAAACTGTATAGAAATTTAATGTCGTAAGAATTAAATGAAGAAAGACTAAATAAACTAAAAATATAAGCAAATGATGTTACAATATGAATAAATTATCTTACTGGAAGAAATTTTGGGCAGCCTTGGGGTGAACATAACTAGAACCCTGAACAATTGACAGCCTTGGGGTGAACATAACTAGAACCCTGAACAATTGACAGCCTTGGGTGAACATAACTAGAACCTGAACAATTGACAGCCTTGATAATAGAACCCGGAACAATTGACAGCCTTGGGTGAACCTAACTAGAACCTGAACAATTGACAGCCTTGGGGTGAACATAACTAGAACCTGAACAATTGACAGCCTTGGGGTGAACATAACTAGAACCCGGAACAATTGACAGCCTTGGGGTGAACTAACTAGAACCCGAACAATTGGCCTTGTGCCAACTAGAACCCTGAACAATTGACAGCCTTGGGGTGAATAACTAGAACCCGGAACAATTGACAGCCTTGGGGGTGAACATAACTAGAACCCGGAACAATTGACAGCCTTGGGGGTGAACATAACTAGAACCCTGAACAATTGACAGCCTTGGGGTGAACATAACTAGAACCCGGAACAATTGACAGCCTTGGGGTGAACATAACTAGAACCCTGAACAATTGACAGCCTTGGGGTGAACATAACTAGAACCCGGAACAATTGACAGCCTTGGGGTGAACATAACTAGAACCCTGAACAATTGACAGCCTTAGTAAACAAACAAACATAGTCATACATATTCTGTTTACACTATGGGCCACCATCCTGACCTTGAGGCTGTCCGTTACATTACACTTGAGGATTTTCTTCGCCAGATCATAATTACATTCTTCTTTGTTTCTTATGTAAGTAGTTCTTCGGTTCGTCCACGCCACCGTCAGTAACTACCCTCACCACCATCACCATCAGCCTGGGGAAGGAAGTAAGGAAAGGGAGTTTACGCAGATAATAAGGTGCTTTGTATCACCTTTGTTCTTGATAGGGTTACCAAGCGTATACCCTATCCTATCCTATCCTATCTATCCTAAACTTTACTTACCTCACCCTAATCTTACCTAACCTAACTCTTTGTCGTCTACATTAGAGTTTCGTAAGCGTGATTTCGACGTCACTGCCTCGAGAAATACACAGAAAAGGAAATGGTGTTATTACGAGTGACAGGACACTGGTACCTCCACATATCAGGAGGCAGGGCTACCAATATAAGGAAGGCAGGGCTACCAATATAAGGAAGGCAGGGCTACCAATATAAGGAAGGCAGGGCTACCAATATAAGGAAGGCAGGGGCACCAATATAAGGAAGGCAGGGCTACCAATATAAGGAAGGCAGGGCTACCAATATAAGGAAGGCAGGGCTGGGGTTGGTGGGGCCAATATAAGGCAGGCTATAGGAAGGCAGCTCAATATAAGGAGGGGCTAATATGCTACAATAAAGGAAGGCAGGGCTACCAATATAAGAAGGCAGGGCTACCAATATAAGGAAGGCAGGGCTACCAATATAAGGCAGGGCTACATAAGGAAGGCAGGGCTACCAATATAAGGAAGGCAGGGCTACCAATATAAGGAAGGGGCTACCAATATAAGGAAGGCAGGGCTACCAATATAAGGAAGGCAGGGCTACCAATATAAGAGGCGTCAATAAGGAACAGGGCTCAATATTAGGGAAGGCAGGGCTACCAATATTAGAAATAGGCTACCAATAGCAGGCTACAATATAGAAGGCAGGGCTACCAATATAGCGGGTTTAAAGGAAGGCAGGGCTACCAATATAAGGAAGGCAGGGCACAATATTAGGAAAGAAGTCCTAACCTAACCTAATGCCCTCTGAAATAAGCTGCGGTTTCTAATTTTAAAATAAAGAAAGGAAGCTTAATCTTGAGTTGAAATAAGCTGCGGTGCTTAATCTTGAGGTGATCAGCTTAAAATCTGTCCTCATGATTTGTGGCTTTATGGCAACATATATTTGTAATGGGACGTGGTATGGGGGTGTCATGTGGGTGTCATGGGGGTGTCATGGGGGTGTCATGGGGGTGTCATAAATGTAAAAATAGGTTTATGGTACTATTATGGCAATGGCTGGCAGTGTTGTTGGAAGGTGGCAACAGTGGTGGTAAGAACGACAACACTAATGGTTATTATGAAGCTATATTATCTTACACACACACTACACTGTTAGGTCATCACACTACACTGTTAAGTCTCACTACTGTTAGTATCACACACAACACTGTTAGTCATCACACTGTTAGTATCACACTGTTGTCTCACACTACATGGGTCATACACACAACACTGTTAAATCATCACACTACACTGTTAGATCATCACACTACACTGTTAGATCATCACACTACACTGTTAGTCATCCACCACACTACCTGTTAGGTCATCACACTACACCTGTTGATCATCACACTACACTGTTAGGTCATCACACACACAACACTGTTAGATCATCACACTACACTGTTAGATCATCACACTACACTGTTGGTCATCACTACACTGTTAGATCATCACACTACACTGTTAGGTCATCACACTACACTGTTAGATCATCACACTACACTGTTAGATCATCACACTATGTAGATCATCACTACACTGTTAGATCATCACACTACACTGTTAGGTCATCACACACACACACTGTTAGGTCATCACACTACACTGTTAGTCTCCACTACACTGTTAGGTCATCACACACCAACTGTTAGATCATCACACTACACTGTTAGGTCATCACACTACACTGTTAGGTCATCACACTACACTGTTAGGTCATCACACACACTACACTGTTAGGTCATCACACTACACTGTTAAGTCATCACACTACACTGTTAGGTCATCACACACACAACACTGTTAGATCATCACACTACACTGTTAGATCATCACACTACACTGTTAGATCATCACACTACACTGTTAGATCATCACACTACACTGTTAGGTCATCACACTACACTGTTAGGTCATCACACTACACTGTTAGGTCATCACACTACACTGTTAGGTCATCACACTACACTGTTAGGTCATCACACACAGTTATATCTCTACATACATTAAATTCAGCATTAAAGTAAACCATAATTGGGTGTCCTTAACAGTTATATATGGAATTTATTTGTGATATATCAACATTAATCGAATGCCATGTCTGGGCCAGTCAACTGCAAGGGGGGCAGGGGGGTGGGGGGGGACTTGTTTAATCAGCTCCAAAATGACGAGTTTTATTGAAACCGTCCAGAGCAATGTGTCCATGAGCACCACTAGTACAGGTGCGGGGAACTACCCTCTGGTGGTCACACAAGAACAATGTAATCTACGTTCATTAAGCCTAGCGTGGTGTAGGAGTCTTCCGCTAAGTGTTTCGGCGAACTAATATGAGGCAGAGCCTTATCTCTCTCTCTCTCTCTCTCTCTCTCTCTCTCTCTCTCTCTCTCTCTCTCTCTCTCTCTCTCTCTCTCTCTCTCTCTCTCTCTCTCTCTCTCTCTCTCTCCCCTGTCCTTAGAATTCAATGATATGTGCAAAGTTGTCTGTGGGTTCAAATAGGTCTGTCTGTCTGTTCGCCCGTCTACAATCTCCCTTTCTGACCGTCTATCTGTCCGTCTCCCCCCCCCACCAGCACACACGACAGGTAACCTCCTTCATCTTACCATAGGATTACTGTCTCCTGAAGGCGGCGACCTAACGCGACATGATGACACGACCTTCTCCTCACCGAGAGATTGGGGGCGCCCCTCATCACGCCCTTGAGGAATTCCTGGAGCCTCCTGAAGGACGTCAGTAAATGGAGTGACAGATGGAAGCTGGAGGAAAGGGAAGGAACCTCGAGGAACACTTGAAGCTTCTTGAAGGAGCCTAGACTATGAAGTGGTAAAAAGAAGCCCTAACTAGAGCCTGGCACCCAGCCGGCAGCTAGTGACACTGGCACCACACAGGAAACGGGAAGCGGTTTTTTACTCCATGTCACTCATTTACAGTTGTCAACTCTTAGTTTTTTAATAATGCGTAGTGAAACGTTACCATCCTTCTAGAACATTACAGCTTTGTTCTTAGCGGAGCCATCACTCACTCATCAGCCCACTTAATATAACCCACATCTACACTGGATTCAGCTAAATTCAACCTCTTGATGTATTTGACCGTGAAAATTTCGATCATATAGGCTTCACAGTCGTTGGGGGGAGTGTAGCTGCAGCACTCAGGGACAAGAGCAGGAAGATGAGCAACAGCAGAACAAAAAAAAGCAGAAGTAGGAGCACAAAGCGGGAGGAGCGGATGTGACAGCCTTGCGACAGTACCACATAAAAGTCACGACCTCTTGAACTTGCTCCATCCTCCCCCAGCAAGATTAAGTAACATCCTTTCTCCTCGAAAGTAATAGGAGAGAGCCACCGCCGTCGTTCTGGTAACAATGACTGGGTGGTTGACATTGGTATCACTTGCTGGGTGGTTGACATTGGTAACAAAGAATATTTTAATTTTGTACATTATAACTCAAATTACCATTGTGTTCAAATTATTATTATTATTATTATTATTATTATTATTATTATTATTATTATTATTATTATTATTATTATTGTTATTATCAATATTATTATTATTATTATTATTATTATTATTACTATTATTATTATTATTATTATTATTATTATTATTATTATTATTATTATTATTATCAATATTATTATTATTATTATTATTATTATTATTATTATTATTATTATTATTATTATTATTATTATTATCGTTATTATTATTATCATCATCATCTCCTTCTCCTTGCAGGGGTGACTTACACAAAGAGTTCACGCGGGTGTACTCAAGCATGCCCCAAGGACATCAAGCCAGTGTGTGGGAGCGACGGCATCCTCTACTCCAGCTATTGTGAGATGAAGAAACACAACTGTGACAAAAGTGAGATGGGGAGAGAGAGAGAGAGAGAGAGAGAGAGAGAGAGAGAGAGAGTCTTTCCATATATATTCATCATCATAAATAGCCTAAATACTTATACATGTACAGTTGAATACAAGTACAGGTACACTTTGAAGTATAAGTAAAGGAATTGGGGGTTTGGTTTTAATTACTCAGATACGAGAATAGAATCTACAGGTGGTGGTTAATATAAAGCCAGGTAGTAGTGCCAGGTACAGGTACTGAAATAAAACGTGGGGATACAGGTACACGTACAGGTACAGTCAGGGAAAAGGTGCCGTCAGTCCACCATGAACCCTGTGAATCCGAGACATGATACAGTGTGCTATCTCGTGCGTCGTGTCTCGGATTCACGGGTTCATGAGTCTCAGGGTTCATGGGTGTGGCACGGGACGGTGGACTGATAGGACCTAACCTAACCTAACCTAACCTAACCCATATCTTCTCAACAGGTGTGCACGTGGTACCTGAGAACAACTGCCTCAGAGCAGAGGGAGGAACGTGCGAACACAGATGTACGAGCACGTATGATCCAGTGTGTGCTGTCGACGGACGCACCTACCTAAATTTGTGTGTCCAGAGCGTCGAGAAGTGCAGGTGGGTGAGTGCAGGTGTAATGAACTACAGGTGGGTGCAGGTATAGTGAACTAGAGGTGGGTGAGTGTAGGTGTAGTGAACTAGAGGTGGGTGAGTGGGTGGGTGGGTGTAGTACCAGAATCCTGGAGGATAGCGAATGTAATACCGATTTTCAAGAAGGGGGATAGATCACTATCCTCTAACTACCGCCCAATCAGTCTAACATCAATAGTAGGCAAATTACTTGAATCAATCATTTCAAACTCTATTCGAAACCACCTGGAGAAGCACAAGTTGATCAATGATTCCCAACATGGCTTCACAAGCGGGCGTTCATGTCTAACTAATCTATTAACATTCTTTTCATCAGTTTTCGAATCGGTGGACGAAGGGCACAATTATGATGTGGTATATCTCGACTTTAGCAAAGCCTTCGTCAGAGTCCCCCACGAAAGACTAATTAGAAAGGTAGAAGCACATGGCATCAAAGGTAATATCCTTAAATGGATTAGGGCGTGGTTACAGGACAGGAAACCGAGTGAGCATTAACGGCACTAAGTCCCATTGGAGCAACGTTATTAGTAGAGTTCCCCAAGGCTCAGTACTTGGACCATTATTATTTATTATATACATAAACGACATAGATATCGGCATAGACAGCAACATAAGTAAATTTGCTGATGACACTAAAATAGGACGTGTTATTAAATCTGACGAGGACTCAGCAAAACTACAGGAAGATCTAAACAAATTTTTCGAATGGTCTGAAAAATGGCAGATGAAATTCAACGTGGACAAATGTAAAGTACTCAGTATAGGAGATGTAAACAGGGAAACCAGATACCAGATGAACAACGATGCCATAAAGAAATCCGACTGCGAGAGAGATTTAGGAGTAATGATAAGTAGGAACCTTAAGCCAAGTAAACAATGTGTTTTTGCTCGTAACAAGGCTAATAAAGTACTTGGGTTCATACAAAGGAGTGTTAGTTACAAGACTAGCGAGGTCATCCTAAAACTGTATCTTGCTCTTGTGAGACCACACCTGGATTACGCAGTTCAGTTCTGGTCACCGTATTACAGAATGGATATAGAATCCTTGGAAAGAATTCAGAGGAGAATGACAAGACTAATACCGGGCATTAGGAACCTTGAGTATAGAGACAGGTTAAAGCATCTTAATTTGCACTCCCTCGAGAGACGTAGAGCGAGGGGCGACCTGAAAGAGGTGTATAAATGGAAATCTGGGCTAAACAAAGGGGACATTACAAAGGTACTCAAACTATCCAACCAGGAGCGAACTCGTAACAATGGTTTTAAATTAGACAAATTTTGATTTAGGCGCGAAATAGGTAAACACTGGTTTGGAAACAGAGTAGTGGATGAATGGAACAAGTTACCAAATATCATCATTAACTCGAATACGCTGAATAGCTTCAAACATAGGTTGGATGCTTATATGAGCAAAAGGGGTTGGGTGTAAATGGGACTGCCCAGTATGGGCCAATAGGCCCGCTGCAGTTTCCTCCATTCTTATGTTCTTATGTTCTTAGGTGTAATGAATTAGAGGTGGGTGAACGGATGGTGCGGGTGTAATGAATTACAGGTGGGTAAGTGGGTGGGTGCAGGTGTAATGAACTACAGGTGGGTGAGTGGGTGGGTACAGGTGTAATGAACTAGAGGTGGGTGGTGTAGATGTAATGGGGGGGGGATAGGTTAGATTAGTTTAAGGTTTGGTTAGGTTATACTAGCATTAAGTTGGTTACTACTGGTGAAATAAACTAGGGTGTGTAATCTTCAGGTGATCTCATTTACCCAATAAAGCTGATAGTTGTGTTGTTGTTGTGTTCCTTGTTACATACTCTATTCACTAGTATCGGGAAAGCCATGGTGTGGATGATAACTAGTAAGATGGCTGATGTATTGTGTGGATGATAAGCCGGTGGTGAGGTGGATGAGGTCACCATGTGTGTGTGTGTTTGTACAGTCACGACGGAGGAATGTGGAGCCTTGGTTCACCACCACCACAAGGCTGTGTGTGTGTGTGTGTGTGTGAACGAACCCTTCAGTATAACGAGATGCAGTATATAGTTCCACAATCCCTGACGTCGAATAACTAACTCTTTTTAAGTAAGTTAGGGAGGAGTAAGTAACTTATAATCTACTTAACAGGTCTGGTGTTAAGTTTGCTCACTACGGTGTGTGTGCGGGCGACGGGAACAGAACAGCTTGTCCTACCAGTTGTCTCTACGAACCTGTTGACGGCCCGATCTGTGGTTCTGATGGCAATGTTTACAACTCTACCTGTGACCTGAGCTTTAGGACCTGTGGGTGAGTGTTGTTGACCTGTTATTATGTTTACAACTCTACCTGTGACCTGAGCTTTAGGATCTGTGGGTGAGTGTTGTTGACCTGTTATTATGTTTACAATTCTACCTGTGACCTGAGCTTTAGGACCTGTGGGTGAGTGTTGTTGACCTGTTATTATGTTTACAACTCTACCTGTGACCTGAACTATAAGACCTGTAGGTGAGTGTTGTTGACCTGTTATTATGTTTACAATTCTACCTGTGACCTGAGCTTTAGGACCTGTGGGTGAGTGTTGTTGACCTGTTATTATGTTTACAACTCTACCTGTGACCTGAGCTTTAGGACCTGTAGGTGAGTGTTGTTGACCCGTTATTATGTTTACACGATTACTGTTATTGCAATATTCTTTTCTTATTCCCATTAGTACCAGTATTAAGACCAATATCAGTATTATTTTGGTTATTTTCCCTATCACATTATCATTATCATCATTGTTAGTATTGGAGGTGACAACTCGTGGTAGGTGAGCGAGACCCCAGTGTGGGAAGAGGCCGACCTCGCTTCAACTGGCAACTGGTCTAACCCATCAATCAAGCCTTCAAAACAATATATAATCTCAGTAATATGAATGTATAGATAAATAGATTGATGAGTGGGTGGACATAAGTTTTATAAGATCACAGAGAGAGAGAGAGAGAGAGAGAGAGAGAGTCACCCACTTTAACTTTACGGTCGCGATTCACAAAGATGTTGTATTGTACGTTGACATCGTGCCATAACTAGGTGGTAAGTGAACGTATCTAGATTACTACAATATTAATTTTATTTGGGACGTTATATTTAAGATTTTACTTTGACTTACCAGATAAATTCCATTTTTTAATCTATATTTACTCAGAAGAATTTAACGTACGAACTTCTGAGCATACGATTCATGTAAAGAAAAAGATTATGACAGGTTTTATACCGAGTGAGCATGAGAAAGTTACATCTTCCAGCCCTAATATGGATAACCCACAACCGGAAATTTTATTGAAATGTTTTTTTTTTTTATTATTATATCGTTACCATGTGTTGCGACGCCAGACCTTGACGAGCCGTGAGAACCTCATCGGTGGGATACAAACATCACCCAGCCAGTGTTTCTTCCCGCGCTCAAACATCACCCAGCCAGTGTTCCTTACCTCGCTTCACCCCAGTGTTTACCTCGCTCAAACATCACCCAGTCAGTGTTCCTTACCTCGCTCAAACATCACCCAGTCAGTGTTCCTTACCTCGCTCAAACATCACCCAGTCAGTGTTCCTTACCTCGCTCAAACATCACCCAGTCAGTGTTCCTTACCTCGCTCAAACATCACCCAGTCAGTGTTCCTTACCTTGCTCAAACATCACCCAGTCAGTGTTCCTTACCTTGCTCAAACATCACCCAGCCAGTGTTCCTTACCTCGCTCAAACATCACCCAGCCAGTGTTCCTTACCTCGCTCAAACATCACCCAGTCAGTGTCACAAACTAGATGATAAAATGACATTTCGAGAGAGAGAAAGCGAGATATCAAGTAATTTTGAAGACTTGTTCATTGTATGAGTTATCTGGGCGTTTCCTTTCAACCGACTATTTTAAACGATAACTTTATCCTCTAGGAGACAACATACACGATAACTGGGTTTTTTTTATTTGTTTTTGTTTTATCGACGGAGATTTTCAAAATAAATATAACTGTTTGCTGTTTATCATCAAGCAACTTCCTGCTGGGTCTCAGTTAACATTTTTTTCCAACAGTTATTTGTCGCCTGAGTACAATACTGCATAAAAGAAAAGGTATTGGAATTTCTGATGAAAAGGGGGGGTCCAGACCCCCTGGATCCACCCTTGGCAGTATTAACGTCTGAGGTTTTATATCCGTTCCCCATAGCCGGAGGATGACGTCAAGCACCTCGCCGCCACGCTCAAGGCAACTCTCTCTCTCTCTCTCTTTCTCTCTCGTTTATTTAATCACATATTTCTCTCACATATATTAAAAGCCACACAGACTGGTAGTAACACACACTAAAACAAAACCAATTGGGTGGTACAAGTAAGTACAAGACTTAAGTATGTGTTTGTGTGCCTTGTACGAGGTAGCCCCTTGTGTGGTGTGTAAACGACCGACCTTCCCGCCACCCTCAACAATTCACCAGCAAAGCATGCATGTATATAAGTATTTATTCATATATTTATGGTTATGTGTGGGTGTATGAGTGTGTATACATTTATATAAGTATTTATTTATATAGTCATGATTGTATGTGGGTGTATGAATGTTTTGTAAAGCGACATTTTCCGGCGCCCCACAACACAAAGTGACGGACGGAGTGAATCAATTACCCAGGAACCAGGGAAGGCGACGGATGGTCAACCACTCATTATGACTTAGCGAGCCGTTAAGGTGTCTCCCGTCTGGTCGTTGGCTGGTTGATAACTGTCACTAAAATCCTGCAGGAAAGTTCAGTTGTTTTGTTTGTGTTATAGTTGGTCAAGAGCTGTTGGAGAGTAGGTTATGGTAGGTGTCATCGTTTAATTATAACACCCTGTACCTGCATACCTGTACAAACATACATTATTATTATTATTATTATTATTATTATTATTATTATTATTATTATTATTTGGGTTTCGCAGGCAGAACGTGGTAAAGACTTCATACAAACACTGCCAGACGACCAAACACTGCCAAGACGTGTGCTTCTACTCCTTCAAGGCCGTGTGTGCCTCTGACGGCCGTATATACAACAACAAGTGCCAGATGAAGATGAGGAATTGTGGGTGAGTGACCTAGTGAGGGTGTTGTGGTGTGACCTAGTGACCTAGTGAGTGTTGTGAGTGGGGACCCCCTAGTGAGGGTGAGGGGGGGAGTGACCTAGTGAGGGTGACCTAGTGAGGGAGGACCCCTAGTGACCTAGTGAGGGTGTTGGGGGAGGACCTAGTGAGGGTGTTGGGGAGTGACCTAGTGGGGAGGGGGGAGTGACCTAGTGAGGGTTGTGGTGGGGGAGTGACCTAGTGAGGGTGTGAAGAGTGACCTAGTGAGGGTGTTGTGGAGGGGGACCTAGTGAGGGTGTTGTGAGGGGGTGACCCAGTGAGACCTGAGTGAGTGACCTGGGAGGGTGTTGTGAGTGGGTGAGTGACCTAGTGAGGGTGTTGTGAGGGTGAGTGACCTAGTGAGGGTGTTGTGAGTGGGGAGTGACCTAGTGAGGTGTTGTGAGTGGGGAGTGACCTAGTGAGGGTGTTGTGGTGGGTGAGTGACCTAGTGAGGGTGTTGTGAGTGGGTGAGTGAGTGACCTACCTAGTGGGGTGTTGGGTGGGGGACCTAGTGAGGGTGGGTGGGGAGTGACCTGGTGTTGTGAGTGTTGTGAGTGGGGAGTGACCTAGTGAGGGTGTTGTGGTGGGGTGACCTAGTGAGGTGTTGTGAGTGAGTGACCTATGAGGTGTTTGTGAGTGGGGAGGACCTAGTGAGGACCTAGTGACCTAGTGAGGGTGTTGTGGGGGGGAGTGACCTGAGTGTGAGTGAGGGTGTTGTGAGTGGGGGAGTGACCTAGTGAGGGTGTTGTGAGTAGTGAGGATGTTGTGAGTAGGGGGAGTGACCTAGTGAGGGATGTTGTGAGTAGGGGGAGTGACCTAGTGAGGGTGTTGTGAGTAGGGGGGAGTGTCTATAACCTCGGCAGCTGATGTGAGATAACAGCGTAAATGGCGATAATGGCGTCGAAATGCCACTGAGACTCGACATTAACTGCAAGTGTTCTCTCCTCCCCAGATTGATCCATGAAACAGATTTGATGATTTTACTGAATAAATATCTGCCTGTCTGTCTGTCTGTCTGTCTGTCTATGTATATGTATATGTATATTTATCTGTACATACATCTGTCTACTATTAACCCTTTGAGTCCTCGAGGGTTAAACCATCATCCTCAAATAGTTAAACCATCATCCTCAAATAGTTAAACCACCATCCTCAAATAGTTAAACCATCATCCTCAAATAGTTAAACCATCATCCTCAAATAGTTAAACCACCATCCTCAAATAGTTAAACCACCATCCTCAAATAGTTAAACCACCATCATCCTCAAATAGTTAAACCATCATCCTCAAATAGTTAAACCACCATCCTCAAATAGTTAAACCATCATCCTCAAATAGTTAAACCATCATCCTCAAATAGTTAAACCACCATCCTCAAATAGTTAAACCACCATCCTCAAATAGTTAAACCATCATCCTCAAATAGTTAAACCATCATCCTCAAATAGTTAAACCATCATCCTCAAATAGTTAAACCACCATTCTCAAAGGGCTAAACCATCATCCTCAAACAGTTAAACCACCATCCTCAAATAGTTAAACCATCATCATCAAATGTATAACGTGTACGTGTTTGTTTGGCAGACGACACATCTTCCAGCGGCCGATGGGGGAGTGTAGGCCCCAGGAGAGGACTACGGGAGGCTGCCCTGTGTCCTGCCAGGGGGAGAAGTTGGCCCCTGTGTGTGGGTCTGATGGATACGTGTATGACAACGACTGTGACATGAGACGACTAACTTGTGGGTGAGTCTCTCTCTCTCTCTCTCTCTCTCTCTCTCTCTCTCTCTCTCTCTCTCTCTCTCTCTCTCTCTCTCTCTCTTTCTCTCTCTCTCTCTCTCTCTCTCTCTCTCTCTCTCTCTCTCTCTCTCTCTCTCTCTCTCTCTCTCTCTCTCTCTCTCTCTCTCTCTCTCTCTCTCTCTCTCTCGTTGATAGTATAAACATATGCATTTGTCATTTATTAGTTCACATAGATTCTGTCATTTACAATTTATATACATACTGTAATTATCAGATGCACCATAATTTATATTTTAAGCATTTTTTTTTACAACCTAACCTGACCTAACCAAACCTAAACTAACCTAACCTAAACCTAACCTTCTGCATCACCTTCCTCCCACAGGTCCCGAGGTGCAGGAGCCGTGTACAAAGTAGACCTGGAGAAGTGCCTGAAGAAGAACGTGAGGTGTGCCAAGATGACCTGTCCTCCCAACGTTGATGACCCCGTCTGTGGCACTGACAGCACCACCTACGCCAACTACTGCTTCCTGCACAAAGCGACTTGCCTGTATGTCTTACCTGTACCTGTAGCCTGCGGTAGTCTCCTCTGTACCCGCCTGTAGTATGAGTGAGAGATGCAGTATGAGGGATCTGTATGAGTGAACGACTCAGTATGAGGAATTAGTATGAGTGAACGACCCAGTATGAGGAATCAGTATGAGAGAGATGCAGTATGAGGGATTAGTATGAGTGAACGACCCTGTATGAGGAATCAGTATGAGAGAGATGCAGTATGAGGGATCTGTATGAGTGAACGACTCAGTATGAGGAATCAGTATGAGTGAACGACACTGTATGAGGAATCAGTATGAGTGAACGACACTGTATGAGGAATTAGTATGAGTGAACGACACTGTATGAGGAATCAGTATGAGTGAACGACTCAGTATGAGGAATTAGTGTGAGTGAACGACCCAGTATGAGTGAGAGATGTAGTATGAGGGATCAGTATGAGTGAACGACCCTGTATGAGGAATTAGTATGAGTGAACGACCCAGTATGAGTGAGAGATGTAGTATGAGTCAACGACCCAGTATGAGGAATCAGTATGAGGGATTAGTATGGGTGAACGACTCAGTATGAGTGAACGACCCAGTATGAATACCAACCATAAGTACAACACCCTGCAGGAAGAATTAGGATGAGTGAAGGTGTTTCTCTGGACGAGGAGGTCATGAAGATTAGTCACCCTAGCTTTAACCACCCTGATAATAACTTAACCTAATCTAATGCAACTTAACATAGAACCTAATCTATCCTAACCTAATGTAACCTGACCTAACCTACTCTAATCTAATTAACATAATCTAATTCCCTCAAGTAACATTAGGACGCTTAATCATCAGGTGAAATAAACTGGATTGGCTAATCTTCATGTGATCCAAAGTTAGAATTTAGTACCATAGTAAATATAAACCCAGACTGACCCTGGTACAGTGTATAAACCCTTAGCAACGCTGGCAAAGTTTACTGTCCCTCCTACAGGAAGGGCGTCAGTCTGGCCCATCACGGACATTGCCATTACCGGAATGAGTCTGACGAGTGCCCTAAGGAGTGCCCCACGGCCAACGAGGATGAGTACCCCTTCTGCGGCTCCGACGGCAACGTTTACGTCTCCTACTGTGAGATGAAGATGAGGACTTGTGGCCAAAAGTAGGTAGAATCTGGTCATTGGTGAAATAGGTCTAGGTATCGAAATTATCTTTTAGAACTTCAATGTATTTTATGAGGATAGGACCAAAACTTTACCAAGATGCTTGTTGTTGGTTCATTAATCATTCCGTGGCACTTACTCAACACATGGGTGATTAGTGTATCGATATAAATAAGCTGTGTCCAAATACACTATCACCTGAGTCAACTTATACAGCTTTGTGACTGATCACTGAACCAACTGTGTCTTCGAAATTCCGAACAGCAAACAGCTATGTGTCTAAAGCTCCAAGCACAAATTCAGTCACATTGAGACTTAAGATAAAGCTCTAGTTATAGTACTGTACAATACTACTGAGAGCGACATCATTTTGGCGAGAAAAACCTTGACTCGAGTCACCGTTGTTTTGAGATCGTATAAGAATATAAGGAAAAACTCTCAGTATTAAAGTAGCACTGTAGTAAAAGTTGTCCTCATTCTCTCTCCTTATATGTATCTATTGGTCTCCCCTCCTCTCACTTCCTCTTCCCTACACCACCTGCAGAAAAAGACTTAACACTTGCCCTGCCTACAGGGTGGTGCCAGCGGCTCTGCATCACTGTACTGCCACCAAGGACTGCTTCACCGACTGTGAGAAGGACCACGTCGCCGTCTGCGCCTCCGACAGCAAGATGTACCGCAACGCCTGTGAAATGAAGGCCAAGAACTGCGGGTAAGGGAGAGAGAGAGAGAGGAGCAAACACACACAGACATAGAAACACCGATGGACACGTGAGACAGACATATATTAAGACAAAGACATCAGCAGACATGGGAAGATAAACAAACAGAAGAACACATAAATAGTCAGACAAATAAAGCTAGAAGTAGACAGATACACAGACAGACAGACAGACTAATGCAATATTGATCAATGTTATGACAATTGGTGTCAGTCTAATTGATGTAGGGATTCTAAAGATTACTTGTTTTCTTTTTAACTTGACATTAATGTGTATAATGACCCTGTTTGAGGACACGAGTGTAGATAAACAGTAAAGAAACACAAACATACAGTGTATATAATGTGTACTACTACCACTGTTCTTGTAAGTTTGTCCTTATTGTACTGCACGAACTTATGTGTGTGTGTGTGTGTGTGTATGTGTGTGTGTGTGTGTAATAAAAAATGCATGATCGTAACATCAATTGATCCATCGGTCTTTAACTTATTTTCATGCTACTTGGTAAAAAGTATATGTTAAGACGGTTACACTCTGATAAGTCCATCCATACACACTGCCGTCCTTCTCAAGTATAGGGGCCAGAGATATACATCATCTTCGGATGGCTCTTGCTTTTAGTTCAAAATCAATCTACAAATGCATAGGAAGACTCGAGTCCCCCTCCTATCCTCTAACCTGCTTCTCTCGTGTTGGTGTAACATCTAGTAAAACTCTACTAATCCTCTGATTAAACCTGAAAAATTAAGGAATTCTGACATGTGTTACGGTCCTTCCCGCCCAATATAAAACACTTGTTCCGGGTGCTTATAAACAGGTGTCTTAACATTCACCTTCTCCTCTCATAGGAAACATGTGTACCAGGTGCCTATGGACAGGTGTCTCTCTGGCTTCAACTTCTTCAGCTGCCGCAGAATGTGTCCGCCCATGTTCGATCCTGTGTGCGGCACCGACGGTAAGACCTACAGCAACGATTGCTTCCTCAAGATGGAGAACTGCCGCTCTCGTAGCCTGGGCCGCAGCCTCGTGACCCGCATCTACCACGGCAAATGTGGCCAGCCCGTCCCGCAGGCCAAACTTTACATGTTCAGATAAATCTTTTTTGGTTCCTCTCCCCTGCAGGTTCCCCGCCCTCTTAGAAGGTTTGTCTGTATAATAGGTTCTGGTGATGACCACTTTTACTGTGTCTGGCTCGGCCCCTACCATAAAAATAGCACCAACACGAGTGGTCAACAGTGGCCAACAGTCTCACGCTTAAGAAAGTTACGTCAGACGAACTTTCGCCCGCCGTCAACCTGCAGTGGCTCTCTTTTATGGTAGGGCGTAAGTTCCTCCCACGCCGAGTACCTCTGGGCGATGAAAGGCCCTGACAACCACAGTGTACACGACATATATATTTTGAAGCAAAATTTTGTATGACGAATCTACTTTTGACTCTCATAGTCAACTCGTACAAGAAAAGAATATTCTGTATTATTTAACAGCATCGTCTGAAATATTTATATAATTAATACAGATATGACAAAGTATTCCTGTTTAATTATAATCATTAATGACAAACAGCGACATATACAGTACTTCATTACAGTATTTGTATGTTTATTATAGATAGTCATTGGTAATTACAGGAAACTTTAGCATTCCAGTATTATGCTAAAAAGCAGCCAAAAAATTTAGTTTTACTGAGAGGCAAATGTTAAATCCAAGTTTATTAATATTGCACATTTATTATGATATATATTAAGTAAATATCGTTAAAAGAATAGATTTGTTGTAGTATTTTAACATAACATTTTATACGGTACCTGGTCTTAACCCTCAAGCCTGGAAGAACTGACCAACAAAAATGAGGAAACAGAAAACACTTTAGCTATGAAGAACTTAACATCCTAAGGTCTATGAGGTATCTGTTAACACTGGCAACAAGAAGAAAAGATTTATAAACACAAGTATATTTGCCAGACATTCGTGAACACTTGTAAATTAAAATAGTACGAAGGGAACTTATTAATTTCATAATATAAGGGAGAGTTTTAGATAGTTGTGCTAATTAACGACAGCAAGAACAAGAATACACAGTTCTTCAGGACAATGACTAAATATAGAAGTAATGATAATAATAATTATAATAAATTAGTTTATTTCCGAGAATGGGTACATATTCATTTTTTTACAGTACTGTGCACGTAGCAGTCAAATCTGCCGAGGTTAATTATCATATTAGACTTTATATAAGCCTTTATGAGACAAATTAATTAGGATGATGATACTGAAGGAGCTTAAGTTAATGGATGTGTCAAGATTTAGGTAAATTATTGTTTAAAGGACGAAATATTTGCAGTGCAATATCATGTAAGAGAAATGAATGGACGAAGGTGATTCACAACTTTTGCATTCAGGTTGACAGTATTTGACATGACTGCAGGTCGACATTAATTCATATCACTCAGGTTGACAATTTTTGACATCATACAGGTTGACAGTATTTAACATGACTGTAGGTTGACAGCATAACTTAGCAAAACACAGAACGACAGTACTTGACATGACACAGGTTGACAGAAACATGATAGTACTGTATACTACCCCAGTACTGGTTGATTTTGCCCTTAGGTATTTGACACACAAACACACACACACATCAAATTAATTATCGATCTTCACTGGAGTAACTAAGACCATGCCGTATTTAGCGCATAACTGCCGACTATAGAATAATTACTGCATGAGCTGCCTCGTCTGCCATTTTTAAGTAATTCTTGATTTTGTCTAGTGAATAATAGAACAGCCAAACTTAAGCTCAACGTGGAGGATGTAGCGACGCTTGCTTTAGTGCTCATCGCTCACAAGGGGGTGATATATCTTATGAAGTACAGTATGTGTACCCGCACCTCTGCAGTAGACGCTTTCTTGTAAGTCTCGCTGTCCGTGGATGAGCTGTGTGATACCCTACTGTCCGTGGATGAGCTGTGTGATACCCAACTGTCCGTGTAACTATCCCTTACTAGCCCCCCCCCCACCAGTGTAATTATCCACGGCTATACGGTATAATTATTCACATTGCCTTGAGACTCTCTTGCTGTTCTTAAGATTCGCACAATACACTAGTGACCAGCCTGTAGAGTCGTTTGGGGATCTACTGCAAGCTTGTATTCTACTTTGACTGTACTGTACTGTACTCCATATCCAGTATTTGAAGCAAATTTATATTGTCAAAATATTTCCAATTGTATTTGTATAGAAAGTGAGTCTCATTTCATATTTGTTCAAAAAGATGAATCCCACTTTCTGCTTTAAGCTGAGGACTTAAATGCAGGTGGTGCTAGGAGTAATGAACGTATATCTTCCTTAGTGTTTACTGTGAGAAGTACTGGTATCTACGTACTTGTTGGTTGTGTCAATGCCTTAAATATGGTGCCCAATGAAGCTTTGAGCTATTGAAAGATTCAAAACAAGTATTTGCCTACCCCTTACATATCATTTATTATATCAATGACCCTTTCTTATGTAATTTTGTAGTGTATTTGCGATAATGTTATATTTACTATGTCCCCTTTTAATAGGTTGTCTTGTTTTAGTGTTTACGCAAACTCATTTCCTTATTTGTGCTGTTGTTTTAGTCTGAAATTTTACATTAAGAACTTCGGATAAATTATTCTGTTATGTTCTTTACGAACTCTTTTTAATAAGTTATATAATTTTTATGCAACAGAAAGGCCTTGTAATAGGTCGTATTTATTGGGATATTTATTAATATTTATTGTTTATATAGTCGTGTCTGAAAGCGCGCACAAGGCCACATTCGGTCACGCCCACACCCACGAGGAAGCGTCCCCTGTGATAAACTTGTATTGTTGTTGTCTACTGTAAGTGATTAGTCCTGTAAGCACCGTGAAGGGCTACAGGCCATAGTCACGTGTAGAACTACATGTATTTCATATGTTATGTAGGTAATGTAGAACACTAATAAACTGTAGCAAAATGGTGGTGTAAGAACGCAAATTGGTACAGAAACCAAGTTACAGCAGAATTGTTTCAGTTAATTACAGTAAATCCACATTAATTGTAATTTTTCTGTCCCAAAAGCTGTATGTAATGGACTTGTTGTTCTCCGTGGTAGTGCACACCCCAGACAGTGTTTTGTTATCTTATAATGTGCCTTGCTATTATTGTTTGTAATATGGTATAGCGTGCAGTTTGTATCTATATTTGTGCAATAAAGATTCCTGTAGACGATATTGTTTATGTAACCTTGTTGGAGGATGATGGAAGGTAGTCAGATAATATTTTCTGATAATTGACAAACGGCCACCAAACTAGTGCCTCATTTCCCAAAAGAAATTAGATAGCCTTCAGTTGCCTAGTTTATACTATTGATGGGATGATTTAATAGAAGTTAATAAGCACCTCAAAGAAATGTCCTCAGTCATGTATTAATCTCTGGAGCTTGTGGACGGCCACCTTACAGTAGGGTTTGCAGACTCAAGTTGAAAAAGCCACAAATACAGAAATATGTTCCGTTTTGTGAGATCGAAGAATTTGGCTTTCTCGCTGGAAGATATTATGAAGAAGATATTCTCTCAGTGTGTTACCTGCGCCGAGCAAAAACTATCTTCCTCCCACCACCCGGTCGTCTCGTCCAGGCTATCCGACCCTTCGCCAGGATATTAGTAGACTTTACATATAAGGACAAGTACCTTCTAGTTGTGGCTGATGAGTACTGCCGATTCACCTTCATATATACACTTGTACAGTCATGATTACTTCCAAAAGTTGATTCTATTTAGATTTCCCTCCTCCATACATTCTGACCGAGACACCCAGTTCATGTCTCGAGAGTTACACAAATTCCTATTGGATCAAGGAGTTGGTAGGACCCACACTACCTCCATCATACAAAAGGAAGTAGATAGTCTATAAAACTAATAAAAGAAAACAGAATAATCTTGTAAGCTGTTAGACTTGCTTCTCTATCCTATAACTCACCTGACACTCAATGGGAAGTAGTACTCAGCAAGGTTTTACCTTCTTCGCGGTCATTACTCGGTACTGATACTCATGAAACACTTCGTGAGATGGTTTTCATTTACCCAGAAGTCAATCAACGGTTACTCATTCCCTACCTAGATCTCGGACACAGGTTCGTACATGAACGTAATCTTTTTCTCTGGTAGAGTCACTGAATCTGATGAGTGTCACTTCCAGTTAACATCGTGTACCTTATTCTGATGGCCGCGTCTACTGTGTCTACCCGAGATCTTGCTCCCCCTGGAAAAAGGGAATAATGATTCAATGTCCATAGATAAGACAGATGAAGACGCTGTAGCGGATGTCGAAACCTTCGAAGAATCAACTGGGTCCCATCACGACCTACCAGACCTTGATTGGGTCCGACTAATTACCCAAATGTAGCCGCAATGAAGTCAAATAATGGTCCTACATGAATAAATCGGGCTGTGAATCACTTCTCGATTATTATTTGGTGCCATAAAGTCCAAAAAAATTGGTGAACTTAATTTAATCTGAGTTGTGTTAGGTTAGGTTAGGTTAGGTACATGCACTCGATCGTTTAACTCAGATTAAATTAAGTTTACCAATTTTTTGTGACTTCGTGAAACCAAATACTAGTCCACAAGTGATTGGCAGTCCGATTTATTCATGTAGGACCATTATTTGACTTCATTGCGGCTACATGCGGCTACATTTGGGTAATTAGTCGGACCGCCAGAGCCAGGAGTGATGGGACCCCGAGCAGTTATTTTCGTGTGGTAAACAGTAAGTTCCCAACACCAAAGTTGCTTGACGATACTATCTTATCCTCAGGTCCTTATACACAAGTAGGTAAGTATATATCCTTCAGATAATGTAATAGGCTCGAAAACATCCTAAATTAGGGAGCTAGCACTCACAGCTGTGTTTACCAGTGCCCGCCACGAGTGAGTGCCATCGTTACCTGTTGTCTTCCAATAGTACACACACACAGGGTACCAGTTGTTAAGAGATGTTGGGTTAAATTATATTATATTAACACGATGATTTATTCGTATTTACATTGATATTCCTAAATGACAATTAAATATACTATATCTTGAATAATTAAAACGTTATCAATAAGAAGGTGGATATATGTATTTTAAAAAATGTTAAATAAGTATTTTCTTTACATCAAAATATAGAGATACTTTAACCCAGCGTGTACTGTTGTTATTCTCACCATCATGGCAGCCTTTAAGAAGACTCACACACGTGCCTACAGCAAATCTGCATCTAAAGCTACTACAGATACAACATACTGGAGGAAATTAGAAGTAAGTCAGTGGTAATTAATGTTAATAAGTGTGTAGTGGATATATTATCGTGATCGGCTAAGATCTTATGTTATCGCTATTTAACCGTGAGTGAGCTCTGATTGTCTAAGTACATTGTGTTTAATATGACGGGATCCCCCCCCCCAGGACGTTAGGTAAAGTTAGATAGGTTTCTTTGGTTGGTTAGGTTAGGTTCTAGAAAATGTCGCCTCTTATACAGTATTGATAAGTTTCCATGCTCAATAGAAATGTGGTTAGGTTATGTTTACAGCTACACAGCTATTAACTCTTGAACTAAATGCCAAGTGCCACCAGAGTCAAGGTCAAATGGATGGTTAGCCAATGAAAAATTTGGTTCTGACTTGGACGGTAAATATTCTTTATTTTAAACTTTTTTCTCCACATTTTCAAAAGTTGATGTTTTCAGGCAGTTATATCTTTACACACATTAAGTTCAGCATTAAAGTGAGCCAGAACTTGGTATCCTTAACAGTTATTTGTGGATTTATTTGTGATATATCAATATTAATCGGACATTATTTATGAGCCAATGAGCTGCAAGGAGGGCAGGGCTTCTGGGCCTATTAATGTTATTGTCAGCAGAAAAAAGACTAAAATTATGTTGAGTTCCTATGGATTCCTATTTTTTTAATACAGTACAATATATGTTTTACAGTACTGTACTGTATTAAAGCTTACTATTGATGTATGATTTCAGTTCCCCGTGACAGTAAAGGAGTTCACTTCCATCGACTATGTAGATGTGTGTCCTGTTGAGCCATACTATATCGCTGTTACATCTGGTCCTAAGGTAAGAAAGGTCATGGAAACAGGAATTTTGTTTATTTACACTCACTACTAGATCTCACTGAAAGGTTATGGGGATGTTAGTGTGAATGTATACCAGCAAATAAAAGAGAATACTTTAGTGTATTACTGTACTGGATATGTATACTTATGGTACTAACCACCCTGTAGTTTAAGAAGGCATAACTAGGGGCTGGGATGTAAATTAAATATTTTCTCTGTGGTAGTATAGTACTGTATGTAGTACACTTGTGAACAAACGTTTGTAGACACAGACCTGAGGCTATATTGACACTGAATCTCTTAGCTTTTGAGTCTGAAACTTCATAAACAAATTCCTCTTTTTATCAACAGAATAGTCTGTATTAATTATGAATACTTGTGTGAATTTTAATGTCTCGATACATGCGGTTCAATACATTTTTATTACATATCTGATATGTTTCTAAGTAAAATTTTAACCAACCAAAAATTATGAATGATGAACTAAACTCCAACAACTGAAATGATAGTTCAGACAAATTGTGTGTGAATGAGGATACAGTGACTATGGCCAAGAGAGAAAGGTTAGCTGTGTACGATAATGATTGATTATTTAACCTGCCTTTTTCCCCCTTCCAGTGTTCCCCCTTAAGGGATTTCACTTTTACTGTATATATAATATTGATGGCTTTGTAGAAAATTTGGTATTTTTCACTACTGTATTATGTTTATTATTATTGTGAATCATCTGCATACACAGTTAAATATTTAAACAATCATGTGGTCATTCAGTATTACAAAAGGTTATAAATACTGTATGCATCACACTCAGTGTTAATGAATTACATAGTATGTCCACCCACTGTGTGTGTCAACAGCTTCAGTAATGTGTGTTGGCATTGAATCTACCAAACTAAGGCCGATGTTTGGCCAGTGTCTCAGGCACTCCCACACCTCTTGTGTCTTGTTTTCTATGGTTTGGGTGTTGTGGGTCTCCCTCCTCCCCATATCCCACTCTCGACACAGATAGCCCACAGGTTCTCGACTGGGTTCATCACACCCTTTTCTTGGCCAGTCAGTCACCTCTATTTCAGGGTGATGGGAGAGCCAGTCCATAACTATATCACTCATATGAACAAAACTTGTCATGCATCAGAATAATGGGGTTTGTTAACATAAGAAAGTGAGAATGGAGGAAAATGCAACGGGCCTATTGGTCCATACTGGGCAGTCCCGTTTACACCCAACCCCTATCGCTCATATATCCTTCCAACCTATGTTTGAAGCTATCCAGCGTATTTGAGTTAATGATGATGTTTGGTGACTTGTTCCACTCATCCACTACTCTATTTCTAAACCATTGTTTACCTATCATGTGCCTAAATCTAAATTTGTCTAATTTAAAACCATTGCTACAGGTTTGCTCCTGGTTGGATAGTTTGACTACCTTTGTTTAGCCCTGACTGCCTTTTATACACCTCAATCATGTCCCCCCCCCCTCACTCTACGTCTCTCGAGGGAGTGCAAATTAAGATGCTTTAACCTGTCTCTGTACTCAAGGTTCCTAATGCCCGGGATTAGCCTTGTCATTTTCCTCTGAATTCTTTCTAGGGATTTTATATCCATTCTGTAGTACGGTGACCAGAACTGAACTGCGTAATCCAAGTGAGGTCTCACAAGCGCAAGATATAGTTTTAGGATAACCTCGCTAGTTGTTATAAATCTTCTGTTCAATTGCATTAGCTTCCCTGGCTCATACACCCACATCCATCCCCTAAATCAGGTGCTGACTTTCCTGCTTGTGGTTCTTTATTGAATGTGATCCTTCCTAAATCATGTATCCAGCATTGTACAGTCATGCCCCAACCTCCACAGAACATTTATCATCCGTGAATATCACAGTTCTCCAATAGCTAGGATCCACACAGAGATGCTGGAGGGCAAACCTCAGATGAGCTTCCCCATGTGCCCTCATGAGCCGACCTTTTGTTGCCAGGACGTAGCAGTGTACTATATCTGTATGTTGTTTTGATGACAGCATTGTCTGGTCATTTGGGGATCACAAGGCTGTTGCAGGTAACATGTCACCTGTACAGCAGACTTTAGTGGTTGTTATTGTGTTGTTTCCAAAATCCTGTGACTGCCTTGAAGCATGGTCTGCTGCTGCCTGGCCTCATCTCCTGACTTCCTCAATTTGTCATCTTCAGAACCCTGTGAGACGAACGATTTCTCTCACTAGCAGACTCGTCTTCCACATTCCATTAATTTTCCCTCGGTGAACAAGCACATTTGGGGCGTTGTTGCATCTTCCTGCCATACCTGAAATTTATTATTTATTTTTTAAATTTCAGTCTGTGAGTGTTATATACATACAGTATTTAACTATTAATCATGTTGAATTTACTGGATTGTGAATGTTGAATATAAATCAATGATGCTGATTAATTAAGTATTCAGATATATACTAAGTATAGGAAACAAGATTTATTGTAAAAGAGTGATCATTCTTCTCTGAAAAATTCACTGTTTTCTTAATGTTATCTATTTGATGATTTTGATTGTTACTAATTTTCTCCCAGATTGATATTTACAACAAGCAGACAGCACAGGTGTGGAAAACTTTGTCAAGATTTCAGCGTTTAGCTTATGGTGGAAAGTTCAAACAAGATGGCCAACTTCTTTTGGCTGGCTCAGAAGAAGGTGTTGTCAAACTTTTCAATTACAGACAAAAGCAGCTCCTTCGATTATTTAAAGGGCATGAGGGGTAAGTTTGTGCTGATCAACAAAGTTTGTTTCAAGAAATACTTTATGTGAATGTGTTGATATTTGTGAAAGGTAGAAAGTATGGGGACTTTTATATTAGGTATAAGCCGCAGGAACATAAAAGGAAAGGAGTGGACCTGTTCTCAAACTAAGGTGTAAAACATTATAAGGGCAGGGGAATTAAACTGACAGTAGACATATTGCAAGAGGAAGATATAGTATTAACATTGGACCAAGGATTTCCTCATCTTGATCTTACTACTGTAGATGCAAAGAGACTAGCTAGCTATTTGTACAGTATGCAGGGTATTGGGAAATTTGGAGGTGTTGTTTGGACAAGAATAAGGGTTTTAGCAGATGATTTTGAAAACATTGGGAGTTTTTCATCCAAGAATGATTGTTAGAGACTATGCTTGCATTTGTAATCCTTAATAGTCTAGAAAATGTTATGGGATCAAAGTTTATATGAGAGGTTGTGGGAAAGTAAGGGTGTATGGGGTGGTTAAGAAGCACTTGTAGTTAATGAAGATTTTCAGAGATAAATATGAGGAAGTGGCTTTAAAGTTGAAGTAAGCAAAATGTCCTACATTAACATAATCATTTGATGTATAAGTTGGTCTGATATATTCTTGGTCAAGATTTTGACAAATTACAATGTGTTCAAAGATTTTTTTCTGATTTATTAACATTAGCAAGAAATGTTTAATTAAAAAAATCTTAAATGTTTTTGTATTTTTTTTTTTTTGCATTCATTGAATACTACAGTAGTCTCAAGTTCATTATGTTTCATGTTTACAGTCCCACACACCGTGTTGACTTCATCCAGGGTTTACCACATATTGTTACCTTCTCTGATGACAAAACTGCCATTGTTTGGGACATGAGTGATGAGAGTAAACTCTGCACCCTCTCTGGACATACGGTACAGTTTTGTTTATCTTTTATACATCGTGGTGTTGCTGTCTGGGAAAACTTCCTTTTCATTCTCCATATTTGTGTAATATATTCAGATATATTTTTTATCCAGCAGTGATTATAAGCCTAAAATTTAGTTAAATCTTTTAAAGACAACAAATGCTGCAAATTTTCTAAGCATTATTATGGTGTCAACTAGACCAGGCCAGGAAGATACCCATCTTCTTGGCCTGGTCTACTTGACACCATAATCGTTTGTACATAAGTTTGCTCCATAAGTTAGAAATAATACAATGCTCTTATGTACAGTTGTCATATACACATACTGTACTGGTGGTAGAGTGGTTACATTTGGGTTCTTATGATCTTGTCATGAGTGAAGTACAGGAGTTGGAATCTAAGCAGGAATATGTTTTATATTTCTCACCTATTGTATTGTCAAAATTTTTGCTTGTGTCTTTACATAGACTTTGTTACTGGATGGCACCCAAATTAGGCATATAGTATTTAATGTTCGTAAAAAGTCCAGGTGTGCTAATGAACTAGAGGTTTATTGTACTGTAGTCAGTGAATTTTGTACTCTGAACTGAACACAACCATTGATACTAGAATAACTACATCATGGGAGGGTGTAATTACCCTTGAGGTTGATCAACCATACACCAATACTTGAAGGTTACTGCCACTTTCCCTCCTGCAGTAGCTATAGCCCCGCACATTGTAACCTTTGCTGGTGACCTCGACATTCCTGTATATCTGTATGTGCCGATCAAAGCCACTGTAAAGTCCATCAGTAAGGTTAACATATATTGCTTCAAAAGTACCAACATCCTCCCATCACTGGATGATTGTCACACTTGAATCCAAGTGATAACAAAGAAATTGTAGGTAGAAGATTAATTACTAAAGAAGCTGGGAATACAAAAGTTAAATACAGTAAAGGGAAATTATAACAAGATAAACAATGATTAATGTGAAATCTGAGAAAACTTTTATGATCACCAATTAAAACTGTTGTTACTGTTGTAAAAAAAAGGACTTCTTAATGCTTCAGTGGAGGATCCCAGACCAATCACTCTACTACTGTTCCCCTTTATTAGTCTGGCATAATGAGTGAGTGATTTTGATTTATGGCTAAATAAAAAAAATTAAAAAATATGTTGATGCTGTAGTGTCATATATACATTAATAACTTTAGTGCTAAAATGGGGCCAATTTTTTTCTGTTAGTATTATGCTGGTTGATTCAGTATGAAGAATAGTAATCTGTTTGGTACATAGTTTAGTTCAGCAGCAGCTATTATTTATACAGTATTACCTGTATATGATCTTGTTTTAACAGGATTTTCTCCGGGCTGGAATTGCAAGTCCAGCATCAGAGAACATGATCCTAACTGGTTCTTATGACCACACAGTCAAGCTGTGGGACACACGGACAGCAACCAGCGTCCTTACAGTTGACCATGGGGCTCCAGTTGAGAGTCTGGTGTGTTTCCCATCAGGCGGAGTTTTTGTTTCTGCAGGTATTGTACATAATCTTGTCTTCACACACACACACACACACTGTATTTTATATACCCTGTATGTACAGTGCTTTTAGATAAGTTAGCCTCTAGAGGCTTTGAATGCATTCTAGCATTAGTGAACTTACACAAAACCCTATTTTATGTTTTAAAATTTTTAGTTAGTGTGATATAGGTGAAGAGTTTTTTTTAGCTATATCCTGCATTGTGAATAGTTTAGTGGTTTCAGTACTTTTTAGTGTATCAGTTCCTTGATATTTATGATGGTATGCTGTGTATTAATGCTCTATATTATCCCCTATTGACAGATTACTCTTTACAAAGATATTGACTATTAATGATGCATAAGTTAAGTGAGCATATATTTGTTGTCCATATTTTTCACACTAATTTTTTTATAGGTGGTTGTGAGATCAATGTGTGGGATGCCATTGCAGGACGATTATTAGCCAAATTGTCTCAGCACCACAAGACTGTCACCTGCCTCTCCTTTGCCACTGACAAGAAGAGACTCATGTCAGGTTCACTCGACCGCCATGTGAAAATTTACGACATTGACACCTATTCTGTTGTTCACACACTTGATTACCCTTCACCAATTCTCAGCATGGCAGTTGCTGTAAGTGACAGATATTGTTTTGGGTTTTGATTTCTTCCATACATCTACCATCACAGCTAATTCTCAAACCAAATACTGTATAGCTTCTTTGGCTCCCTTTCCCATTTTACTCTTCAGATAACTCACTTTCTATTCTAAATTTTATTTTACTTAAAACTATGTTTAATAAAACTTTGCAGGGATGACTTACTAAGCTTATTAATGTAAACTGGGTGCACTCTAAGGCTCCTTGCTTTTTAGGAAATAATACAAATATTTTTTTTTTTTAATCACTGGGAAGGTTTCCTTTGAAGTACTGTACAGTATATAGAATTACATATTTTAGTCAAACATTTTATCCCATTCTTGCCAATTTGTTTTATGAATTCGTTTGGAAGCTGTTCAACCCTACAAGCTTTTATCATTTTTCATTTTGCTCACAGCTGCCTCAACTTCCGTTTCCAGAATTGTCACTTTGATCTTTATTTCCTTGTCTTTTCTTACCTCTACTCCATCATTATATAATTCTGCTACGTACTCTGGCCATCTTTCTTTTACCTCTTCTGCCTCAAACAGGATCTTAATATTTTTTGCTTTTAATAATCCAACCCTATTTATTTATTTATTTATTTTTGCTCATTTGTTGAATCTTTCTGTACATTTCCTTGTAATTATGCCTTCTGTCATCATCTTCAATTGCAATGCATTTCCTTTCTTGGCCTGTCTGCATTCCTTTTTAATTTCTTTTTTAATTTTCATGTAAGCCTCTTCATTTTCTCATATTTCTTCATTTATTCATTTTCTTTCAAATTTAATTTGTCATACACTTTTAGCGTCGTTCCCCCAATGTCCTTTAAGTTTTCTCCGGTCTCTACCATTATTTCTTTGTAATTATTAATTTGTTGTCCTGGTCCTTCATCAAAGTCACATTCTAGCAATACTAAAATATATTTTCTGTTTCAATTTTGTATTCTATCCCGGCCCTTGTTTTGAATTTACCTAAATCCTATTTGATTTTGTCCAAAATTTTTCTTTTTAATATTTGAAGTTTTAGCCTCACTCAACTTATTACTGGGACATGATGTGACCCACAGTCTGCCACAATTGTAATGATTTTTCTCCAACTTTTATAGTTTCATTACATGTAACAGTAAATGCACTAGATGGCTGGCAAGCCAGCAACGTAGTTATAGCCCATCACCTCCACACGCATTCAGTTTCCACACACACACACACACACACACACACACACACACACACACACACACACACACACACACACCTATGCTCCGGGCTCTTCAATTTTTTTAATTTTATAGTTTTATATTGTATTTTCTTTTATTTCTGAGCCACATCTTTTATACTGAGTGGAGGTCAGCACTGTGCATTGTAGGGTTTATTGGAGGATCCTAAGAGTGAGATTCATCTACTGTACTGTAACCGGAAAATCTCTATCCGGCAGCTCTTAATCCCCGTAGATGCCGGGTAATGGGTTTTAGTGTAGTACCAAGGTACACGACCTTGGGACCCATGTAATATGTGTGTATAAGGTTTCAGGTCTCTTAACTGTTTCCATTTTGGAGCTATGTCAGCCAATTAGCTTTCTGGTTATAAATGGCTTTAGGCCTCATGAGGAAAGTTTGAGTGAACATACAAATGTTTATTTCAGTTGTAGCTAATAATATTACATCTCCTTGGTCTAGACCACAGCTTTATCTGCACATTTTACTTGAACTGCCTAATTTCAGAATGCTATAAAATTTAATCTCGTGCTTTAATTTATTGCTATATCTTTTTAATGTATGTTTAAATCTCTTTACCACAGCCGGGAGATTCTACACTAGTTGTTGGAATGATTTCTGCTGGGTCTGGGCTCTTGTCTTTTCAACATAGACGTAGTCCAGAAACTACTGCTCCTGTGTTATCCAAGCGTAAAGTTGCAAATATCAGGAACACTGTCACTGATGAATTTGTGGTGATGCCCAATGATCAGGTATGTCTTAAGGTTATTTGAAGGTAAATTGTTATTTAAATATTGTACTTTTTACACACTTTTGTGCTTGTTGACTTTGGTCACCTACATACAATGGGGTATGCTATAACGAATCTAATTGGTTCTAGAACCTTGTTCGTTATAGCATTCGTTCGATATAGGATTAATCCGTTCCAGGCCCCCAAATACAACCACTTAACACTGAAAAATATAATATGAAATTGTAAAAATTGTAAAAAAGTGCATAAATATGCATCTAAATCCTTGAAATAAGGAATATCATTAATACTTGTAATAAAAAAAACAATAAATTAGTAAAAAAAAATTCATTGTAGGAGTTTCGTTCGTTATAGCATTCTCAATTTTATAGGTAAAACCGTTCGTTATAGGAATATTCGTAGTACAATCCATTCGTTATAGCATATCCCACTGTAGCTTTGTTTGCTAAAGGATTTCCACCATTAGTGGTGCAAACAATTGTGGTACAGTATGATTACTGTCTCTAAGCAGCATGAAGCCAAAAAGCTCAACACAGCACTTAAATCTACATATTACAGGTCATTCAGTTGACCTCTAGCCCTGCTCTGAATGAGGGGTTATTGAGTGGTAGAGGTGATTGTTATACTTACATTTTAGTCCTACAATATGTCTACACACTTGTTTCACCTCTAAAGTAGTTATAGTGAGAAACCCTCTTGGCAGGAATGCATGCTGAAGTAGATGAATGTTGTTTTCTACTCATATTGTAGAGTTTGTGGAAATTTTTTTTTTTTTACCAACAATAGAAGTTACTTGTTATGAAAACAGGTCCCTACCTGATGCCTTGGATTGGCAAAAAATGAGTAAGTTTGCACTGAGCCATATTTGGTGGAGTGATGCAGTCAAGTATTTCAAAATATTTATCGTGATCACTGCCTTTTTTTTTCCTGATGAAAGTTGTGATGCCATTGACTTTATCAACAGGTTGTTCATCATCTAGAGCGAGAAAAAGTTGCAAAATATGATAGAATGATGTGCAGATTTGAATACAGCCGTGCATTGGATGCAGTTTTGACTTCATACACTGCTCAGAAAACCACGAATGTATCTGTTGGCGTCATGCAGGAGTTGATAAGGTGAGCCAATTTACTATAGATGTACATTTCTGCATTTGCTGTTTCATAAGAACATTATATAGTGAAGAAGATATTCATACCTTAGAAACAATGGAGTGATGGTCAACCAAAATAATAGTAAAAATGGGTTCCAACTCATCAATCCATATTGTATGCTGTTTAACCCCCTACTCACCCAAACATTGTTTCCCCCAAAAAATTAGGCATTTTTTCATCCTTGCCATTCACCTCAGATGATGTCCTCTACAGTCTATACCAAGGTGTTACCCTCGGATAGGTGTGTATCCCTCAGATCTCAAGTGTGCCAGCCACCACACTTAACCTAGAACTGCATACTGTGGCATCACTGCCCCAAGTCTTGATGAGATATATTTCTTCATATTAGCTGTTGAAGATGTGATCAAAGGATCCTCATTTCTGCTAAATATTTCCAATGGGGTTAGGTTCCTGGAACCCAAACACAGATCAAAATATCATAAATCAAGTTCAATGGGATAGGTTCCTGGCCAGTCTGACACCCATATGTATCACCGAAAAAAATATCCTGGAATATATGCACTGTACTACTACCACTACACCCATAAACAACACTCACCACATCATAATAACAAGCCTGATCATCATCACATATTCCTTCGAGGCTAAGGGACTCTTGAGGTGGCGGCACACTGGGCACTTTTATCCAAAGTTGTTGCCCGTTTTGCTGGCCACTGGCCTGACAGCCCAGCAAGCAACAGGATTTTAAACTGTTGCGAGAAATGGACAATGGTTTGGTGGTGAGCTACTGAGCTTTGCTGGCTGGATTAGTGTTCAAATGAGCTTCAAATAAGGTGTTGAATATTTAAGTTAAAATTGAAATAAATTACGAAGCAAGAATAGTTTAAAATATAACACATAGTGTGGTGGCATGTTTCTATTTATTTGTGACTTTAAAACTTCTTAGTTTTATTAAATCATAATTCAAGGTCTTTGACCAGCCAGCCGCTTCCACTTTTAAACAAACTTCACAACGCACCCATTGTCTTTTCTTTAGTTTTACAGATGCCTCACTTGCTTCAGCAATTAAAGAACTATAGCACAATCCTACAAGGGCTCAACTGTAGTAACGGGATCCATGGTGAACCTCGTCTAGACGCTTTGTTGTTGTTTTCGTCATGTTGGGCAGACGCGCCAACAAAACATCCAAGTGTGACTGAAACGTCTCATTGTTTTGCTGACTGGACCGTGTTTGCCAAACTTGTTGAGAGGAAAAGTGCCCAGTGTGCCGCTGCCTTTAAGGTGAAGTGGAGACATCCACCTGAGTCCCACCCAGACCTTGTGGAGTCTGAAGAGTGATCACTGGAGGTGTAGCTTTTGTCTTGGCCTTAAAGATGGTGAGCAAAATACTTGCCAGACACTTTAATAATTACACTGATCACTTCACTGTTACAAAAACAGAGTGAAAGTACCTCAGTCACTAAAGCACTTCACAGTCAGAATGAAAGCACCTCACAGTTGCTTCACTGTCAGTAAAACTGAGTACAGTACATGTACTGTACCTTTACAGTATAATACAGTACTCTGAAAATTTGTAATTTTCTGCTTCTGTAAGAGGTAAAAAATCACTGGTAACATAAGTAATGATATAAGCTGCTGCTAGTGCTCACCTCATGTTCACAAGAGGCAAAACACTTTTCAGTCAAAAAAACAGCACATATCATTTCACAATCACTAAAACAGAGACAGCATTCAGATAGATGATCAAGGTGTCTACTGGTCTGGAAAAGCCAGGGAATTTTACAAATAAACCTGGAATTTATGTAAATTCAGTTCAAATTCAAAATATTTTTATCTGACAGCAATCTTACCATAAATTAATGATGTACAGTACTATATAATAGATAAATAATTCAACCTTTAGGAACAAATTTCAGTAAATAGTCCACTCCAATAACTGAATTGTGTGTGTACCTGTCATATTTCATGTTAGTGATCAATTAACCAAATGTTACAGGTTATACCTACTAATTCTGCACTGAGTATTGTCAGAGATGAATTGTTCTTATAAGTAAGTGACTTTATTTAAGTGGATTATTCCCCATACTAATCATGAGTCATATAGGTGGATCAGGAGTGATTTCTCGGTTTTATTTGCTGGTTTTCTGGCTTTTTTGGAACGTCCGGGTCAACCCACGAGGAGAAAAATATGGAGGGAGGGGGTGAAGGTCTTTGCCGATGTTCATCACTAGGCTTCGGGTGGGTCATGAAAGAGTCTTCAATTTCTTGATTAATATCATTTACATCAGCTTTAAATTTCCCAATACTCGTACAGTATATACATATAATTCAAATCCTCTAATTTTGTTATTCTGTCATAGTAAATGCCATATTAATATACCTGGAATTTTTCAAATTTACTCCTGGAAAACCTGATAATCCATGGAATTTTGTTTTGTCTGGCCAGTAGACATCCTGATGATGCCTCAGCTGACAAATGAAGTGAGTGATGCGTTCCTTATACTGACTTGGTGTGATGATGAATACCGTTAATGTGAGTTTGTTTACATCGCAAATAGTGAAGTGGTCTTAATATATCAGCATCGTTAACATGAATTATTGTAGATTAGGATATTGTAAATAGAGGTTTTCCTGTAATTATAACATTACTGTTTACAGCAGGATAGTTACAGTCATCATGCAGCACTTACTTTCTTATCTTTTTCTTAATATCTATTCAAGATCTTTTGTACATCATATCCACACCACAAAATTGTTTTATGCATACCTCTTGCTGTACTTAATACCATGAAGTAGAGATGAAGTGTTTGCCTCGCATATGTTTTGTTCCATTAATTTTTTTGTATTGGTATGAAAGAACTATATGAACAGTACAGTACTGTATCTCCCAACAGACGTAGAGGAATCAAGACTGCTGTTGCTGGTAGAGAAGTGAAGACCCTAAAGCCTTTACTGTACTTCGTGCTCAAGAATATCCGGCATCCAGCATATAAAAAAGTCCTTATGGATGTTGCTAATGTTATTATTGGTATGTATTGCTGTTATTTTCAGGTGAATTATAACAATTCAGATTCACTTGTGAATTTATATTACAGTGCAGTTGTTTTATAAAAAAATCCCCATATATTTTCATACATGGCCTCGTGACATGCACTCTAACAGTGTATATGTTTATCCGTTTAAACCCGAGACATCATGGAAATGATAGTAGAGAATAAAAAAAATAGATTCCTTGTCTCTTATGATCATTAAGTAATACAGTACACATATAAATTGTACACAGTATTACAGTGATGTAAAAATGGACAAATTATGAGTATAATTTTCTTCATATACTGTACTGTGGCTTTATGGATTATTTACTCGTATATTCCTCTTGATAATTGACATGGGCTTGTTATGAACGCATTGAATTTGTCTTTATCTATACATATAGGTACTTCTGTCTTAACCAAGAGTGTTTGTGGGGTTAAGGAGAAAGTGACTTGGGTAGTGATTGAGATTTAGTGTTTGCATACTGTATCTACCGTACATGAATAGATTTATCAATTTGTTTGGATTATTTTAAACTAGAAGAGGTGTATACTATACAGTATACTCAGACAACAACTGGTTTATCAGCTCTTACCTAAAGTCATGCAGCTTCCATAAAACTATAAACAACTAGGATAAACTTTCCATTCCCTAGTCATGCAAACCAGGGATATTTAGTAAACCCTTTGGATACACCCCTCCGTCCCCATGACACTATCTTAGTATTTTGGAAGATATGATTCTATTGCTGCTTATTTAGGAAATGGGATGACTGATCCCCACACAGTAGTTTTTTTTTCTCCAAAGTGGAATCCTTAAAACTTGCAATATTTAATTTCCGTTTCCAAATGCTTAGATATAGGCAAGTTAATACACAAAATATTTCATTACAAATTAATTACTTTTGAAAATATAGAACACTAAGTAAACCTTATAATTATCCAGGATAATTTGGGTATATAGTAAATAATGCAAAAAATTAAATATGAAAGGAAGATAAAATGCAGCAGTAAAGCATTGTTTTTGTTTGTAAAACACTGAACAGGATTTTGAATATATAATCTTATATACACAAATATATAAGGTACACTGTTGGACTAATAAAATAATCTTAGACTAGACAGAATAGAAAAACAAAATGGGACAGTATTCTGAACTGAAGAGTTGCCGTGTGCTGTATTTCCCACACTCTTTGGTTTACACATTTTTTTCCTTTATGGCAAACTAGAAGGAAATCATATTTTGTTTGTACTATCATGTATATATATATAAATATATATTATCAAGGTGCTGTAGACATATTGGAAACCCAAGACTTAAATTAGTAAAATAAAGTGAGTTAGATGACTATGAATTCACTTTTTCATTAAGTTATATACCTATTCATTTTAAACTAATTCTGTGTATTTTAAAACACGTTTTTTTCTCAGCTATTGTTGATACATAACACTCCAAGGTATGCAATTGTTTGTATACGCTCCCTGCTATTTTCAGATATTTATGGTGATACGTTAGATGAAAATCCTGGTCTTGTGAAACACTTCATGCAACTGAAGGAGGAGGTAAGTTGTTTCTCTTGGTGATACTCTTGATGGAAAGTTAAATGAACATTTACATCAATAACTAATATGGTGGTATTTTAATGGGTTGAAGAGACAGTATGAGCCTGCTGAAGCTGTCATCAGGCAGTATACATATTAGGCTTGATTCCCTTTTAAATACTTTGAGGTAGTTCCACAGAATGACTTGGTACCTAAAATTATGTCTTTGAAGAAATGGAAGAATACAGTGTAACCTTCTGATAGATGGGCAAGTTACATGTTTTTAAGTACAGTACAACATTCCCATTATTTCAAGAGGTCTCCTGATACACGCTTTCATACTGTTGTGATACTTGAATTATCACTAAATTAAACAAATAGATGCACTTCCTCTATGTTTATTTTAGTTGACTGTTTAGCCTGAAGTATAGTTCAGTAATGTGTTAAAGCACAATTGATAATTACAGTAGATGCAGCACTTTTCTTTGGAGGGGGGGGGGGTATCGTTGATAATTACAGTGGATACAGCATATATATATATATATATATATATATATATATATATATATATATATATATATATATATATATATATATATATATATATATATATATATATATATATATATATATATATATATATATATATATATATATATATATATATATATATATATATATATATATATATATATATATATATATATATAATGCCCATTTTATTGGTTTATTTCTTTGTCCTTTTTCTTCCAGGTTGCTGCCGAGATGAGAGTGGCCAGGGAACACATTTCACTGATGGGTGCTATTCAGATGTTCCTTACAGCATCAAATCCAGAGCGAGCTCCAGCTATGACCAGCATCCAGCAATTAACAGCAACATCTACCTTGCACTACAATGATGTCCACAAAGCACTCCAACCATCTTCATCTGCCAAGTCTGCACCAACTGTTGTTGTAGATGTTAGCTGAAAGGAATTATACAAATGAACATCTTTCAGAAGTGTATTTATGTATAGAATGTGAAAGAAAAGTTGATTTTTTTATTGCTTACCAAACAAAGTGGCCTATTGGGAATTCTCTCATCTACTGTACTGTACCATTTTGGGTGTCTGACACAGGAAGTCTGTACTGTAGGTTAAATGTGCAGTGTTAAATTATCACGGGTTATAAATCTTTTGATGGTACAGTATTTGTTGTGAAACATGAATGTATGACTTGACTGAACTTAGGACTTCCATCATAATGTAAACAAACAATGTACAGGAATCCCTGATTATTTGCATATTTTGTATTTGCACCTTCGACTATTTGTGGGAGGCAATATCTTACATATGTTTGAAAGTTGTGGGGAGCTACTGTGTCACGAACAAATGCACATCATGCTGCCAACTCCTCTCTTATATGGTTAAGTCAGTCTTTGTTTACAGTTATTTGTGTTTGTTTACTTACATTCTGCAATTTGATTTTTATAATTTTCACTGCAAAATCACCCTCGACATTATGGTTTCAAAGCAAAAAACTAGTGAACGTGAAGTGCACGGCATAAAAGTTAACTCCTTCACTCCAGGGACACCACTTTTTTTATCTTATGTAGCTAACACAAGAGGATTTTATTCAGCTCAGAGGCGACCCTGTACACAAGGGGATAAAATAGAAAAGAAAGTAAAGACATAAGAGTAATTAGAGGAACTGAAAGGTGAAACCAGTGGTGCTGTTATCGGCAGAGAATATGGTGTTAACGAGTCAATCTCTTTGGAGTAACAGTCTGAACACATAATACTGTACTATACTCTACTGTATAATAAAAGCTTACACGTAACTGTAGTTTATACCCATAATGTCTTTTTATTGTACATATGATGAATTCTCAATATAAAAAAAAAATCATATGAATTCATTTCTCTTTAAAAGCTCCATTTGACATCAAATGTAATCATTAATATTAAGGACTTACCAGCCTTGGGTATTATTTATAGTGATTCTCAGCTTAAAATAATGAACTAGTGGGAATAATTATGCAGCACCCACCATTGACATCAAACAGGACTACTATAATAATCAAAGGACTCGACCAGTTCCAAGACCCTGTAATGCTCGAACAAGATGCGATTAAAATCATTATTAAACAAGAATCTCGGACTAGAGAAGCCTGTAAGGCCAGGGAGTATTAAATGTGGTGTAATCCTTTAAATGAAACAATTGGTCATCCTGCTCCACCTCCCTACCACCTGCACTGTCAACATGTAATACGCCATCTTCATACAGTTCACCTTTGTTTGTTTCATGATCCAAGATACTGTCATCATTAATTAGGTATATTATATGTTTCTATGAAGCGCAGGGTCGTAGATAAAATCTTGCGTGAACTGTTTTCAGACATGTGCAATATAAAAGTAAAAAGACTAAGGAATTTTACACTGGCAGTGTGCCGACTCTATATTTAAAGTGAGAAGTTCAGCTGTGAGTAGTGTTGTGAAGAATTAGTGTTTATTAAACAAGACTACAGTGCACAAGTGTGTTTCTGTGACCTGGTGGAAGTCTACCTGCCTGTTGTTTGTCTGTACACTGATACAGATCGTTGGGAAATTACCAGAGACTATCAGGACAGCCAGTGGTAATTTGACGACTCTTGTGGGATATCTACTGCTTCTGTACATATGACCCTAGCTGCTGGTAACCAGTGGTGGAAGCTGGGTAAGTGGTGAAAGGAATATCATAACAGTTGTTTGGTTTAAACTTTAATCTTGGATTAATGATGTAACCTGTGTGAACTTTACTTTTCACCTTATCTTATGATTTTTTCCTGTGAAAAAGACATAATTTTGAACAAGAACAACATATCTGTATTACTCTGGTGTACAATTTGTACTTAAATGTACTAAGCTAAGGGACTTAAAATTTTATCTCTTAGTGCAACTAGGAGATGTTTATAATCAAATTAATTGCTGTCTTGCAAGGATTCCAGTATTTTCTTTTATTTGCCACTGATCAGCTTACTAGCTGTTTGGCCGGTTTATTCTACCAAGTTAAGTATAACATTTTATAAGAGAAAAACTTTAAGCCTAAACCAAATTCATCCTGTAAAATCCTGATCACCGCCCTGCTGTCTGGGAGGGGGAGTGGGGTGTTAACAACCGGCAAAAGGAGTTTAAGTTGTCAGTGGAGGTGGTGCAGGTTAGGGACTCAGGGTTATGCATGACAGGGAATTTAAGTTTTTCTCTTATAGAACCCTGAACCTCTGGGCATTGTTTTATTCCACACAGCCTGTTCAAAGTGCTTGTTAATATTTGTTTTTATCCTTTCCCCTCTAATTATAATACCTAACCTATTAAAGTTCCCACGTATACTAGTAAGCTGATAAGTGGCGAATATGATAAGAAGAAATAGCAGCTGACGATATTTCCCACATACAAAATAACCACTTGTAAATTTATCCCCTGTGTCCACCATACAGTTCGTTGGTAAAAGTATTGGCTGTTAACTTATTGACTGTTAACTTTGCTTCATATTTAGTACATTTTCTTCCATCTGGTTCAAGTGATCAGGAGTTGAGGACAATGATTATAACTAATATTCGGAATGGTATTTATTCAATTTGTATATATTTTAATAATATTTACACACATATTTATATACATTACGTATTTATTTTATTAATTGATTCAAAATGTTCTAGAAATAGTATAAACAATTTTTTTTAATAACTATTCATGTCCTGATTAATGAAGAGGCCCTGTTATACATCTTTGTAATTTATTTTATTTTTATGTGTAAAAAATCTAGATGTTACTGAAGATCAAATATTTCTTATAATTATTCATATCAGATTAAATCTAAAAAAATTATTTTATGTATATTAATTTTAAGTTAGGTGTGACTTATGAATAATGTATAGAGTAGTGCTGCCACCTACGATGTAAACAATGAACTAACTACCAAAACAGACTTTGACATCCACCCCGCGCTGTGATGGTCATTAGTGACTCGTATGACAGGAACTACCTAATGTTATCTTCTATTGGTATTGATTCCTTGTGTAACAGAACATGATTCATTGTTCGTGAGTAGAAGTAACACTGGTAGCCGATGGTGATATATGTGTACTGTGAGCTATACCGTGTTGGTCTCTGGTTTTCTGAAAATTAATATCAATTTGCCAGCCTTACTAATTATCCGTCTCTTCTGCCCTGTATTGAAGAAACTGGTAAGTAGATAGTGCATTTACTTAATTCTGAAATGGTATTATCAGTACACTATTAAGTGTTATAAATTTACAGTGTTTTGTACTTTTTTCAGAACTTGTCATTTTATAATTATCTGAGACCATTTTGTACAGCCATACAGTAATATAAGAACTGGGTTGAGAATATTAATTAGGTTGGGTGTCTGGGACAGTGTCAGCATCCAAAACCACAACAGTTATAAAAATGTGATGAAACAAACTTTATGAGACTGGGAAGAGTTTCAGGTTGAAAGGGAGTGAATATTTGGGTTCAGTGGAATGAGAGCAATTGTAAAATAGGTGAAGTGTTTAGTCTAGGCCTTCCATTTTATTTCTTGACATGTCTTGAAATATCATAACTAATAGGTTTGGTTAAGGATGAAGGAGATTGTCGTCACTTTGGTAGTAAAAACTCAAAATCTATTTATCATTTAAGCAGCACAATACTTTAGAAAGTTGATGTGGAAAAATACAAAGACCTTGGAATACTTCCTCATCTGACCTTAAAGGATTAGCACATGAAGGTCATGTTGCAGCTAAAGCCTCGGGTAGGGTGAAACTATGGGCAAGTTTCTTTATGCCATTTGCCTCTGTCTACCCAGCAGTAATTGGGGACCTGGATGTTAATCGATTTGCGGATTGTTCTGGGGTAATGGTTAGCCAGTGCAGTTGGCGAGTTGTCTCGTCATCTCGGACTATTCCTTGACACTGGGTCATGCAGCTCGTTAACTCAGAGTGTGGTTGTTGTGTTAGCGACAGCTTCTACACCTTAAACAAATTCATGCCTAGGTGGCCCTAGAGCCGGCCATCCTCGTACATGAGGGGCAACCATTATAAAGCCAACAGTAGACTGGGGATAAAAAAGAGAAGCTTTAATTAATAAATGAGGAACTAATTAAATAATTGAATTTGACACTAGTCAGGTCAATTTTTGATTGTGGAGTTCAGTGCTTGTCACCTTATCTAGCTAAAGATATCAAATTGCAAAAAAAGTGCAACAGAGCAGCAAAACTAGCCTTTGAATTAGCATAGCTACCGGTATTGTCTTACGAAGAAAGATGTAGCTACAGTATTATCTTTGGGTCTACAGACATTACAAGACAGGAGGGAGAGAGGAGACATGATTGAGGCTTACAAACTCCTGAGTGGATATGAAGATAATTAAGAAAAAATGAAGGAAAACTCATTTTCTATAAGGACCATGACTACCTGGTATGCACTCACTGAGGGTTGTATCAGTGCACCATAGCTGCTGTTTAGCAAAATTTTGAATTAAAATACTGTATGGTATACTGTATAAGTATTTTGACATGGTGTAAGTCTGAATCATGTTCCTGGTGGAGGAGATATTAAAAGAAGATTTCTTATTCCCCCTCTAACTTAATGTGAGGGAAGTGTTACTCTGAGAAAAAAGCTCTGTCATACTTTAAGAAAATTTTAAAACTGACTAAACAAGAAGCTGTTCAGAAGTATTTTACAAGTCAAAATATATTATCTGTGAAACAATTTGATGAAAATAAATAATGAACTTCAGGCCCAGTCCTAGAGGGGGGTGGGGGCTGTGGGGTATATGCCCTTCTGAGACACAAAGCTATGTATCTGCATAATATACATGTTCAGTTATCATTGCAGATGGGCAGTATAATTTATTGCTTATCCTCAAGCCAATTGTGTGCCTGCAAGGAACTGTGCGTGTGGCGGGGTAGTTGCGTGTGTAAGTGTGTTACTGTAGGTGGTTGTGTTTTCTCGTACAATTGTTTACTGCGGTATCTGATAGTTCATGTATTTTTATAGTTGGTATTTATATTTGTAAGTGTGTGTGCAAGTGTAAATGTTTAAATGTTTAAACAATTTCAGTATAGTACTGTAATAATAAACACAGTTTCTCTGATCATTTGCTTTGTGAACACATTACTCACTTCTTGCCAGCTCAACAACATGCTGTTTTGGGACCCTCTTATTGTGTGTTTATTGATGAATTACCATGAATGGAAGAAAAAGGTTTTGACATAGAGTGTCAATGGTCAGTGATCTTCCATCATCAGAGTGTCTTGAAACAGAACAAATGTGCTGGCACCTGCCCAACTCCCTGACCTGCCCAACTCCCTGACCTGCCCAACTCCCTGACCTGCCCAACTCTCTGACCTGCCCAACTCCCTGACCTGCCCAACTCCCTGACCTGCCCAACTCCTGACCTGCCCAACTCCCTGACCTGCCCAACTCCTGACCTGCCCAACTCCCTGACCTGCCCAACTCCTGCCTGCCTGCCCAACTCAACTCCTGACCTGCCCAACTCCCTGACCTGCCCAACTCCCTGACCTGCCTGACCTGCCCAACTCCTGACCTGCCCAACTCCCTGACCTGCCCAACTCCTGACCTGCCCAACCTGCTGCCACTCCCTGACCTGCCCAACCCTGACCTGCCCAACTCCCTGACCTGCCCAACTCCCTGACCTGCCCAACTCCCTGACCTGCCCAACTCCCTGACCTGCCCAACTCTCTGACCTGCCCACTCTGGCAAACCTCTCCTTTATTTTATCCGAACAAATGCTGTAGCTATACAGTATTATGCTTCAAGTCCGTGCAATGTTACCGGTC